TTTTCTACTATTGTTAGATTTGTCAATGTTAAAAATTATCTATATTAATAATTTCGTCAAAGGGTACGGTTTACTCGATCGAAACCTTATATGAATAACAAAACATAAAAAAATATTAATTTTGTTAAATTTCAAAAAATATTCATTTTGTTAAATTTCAGAGAATTTCGTTAAATTTCAATTGCACTGTCAAGCAAACCACAGTCGCCATCTTGGGTAGTTAATAAACGTTCCGTTACGCCTCGCCAACGTTTAGTGAATCATAACAAAAGAAAAATACTTTTCGTCAGTCGTTGACGTTGCGCGAAAATATTGTTTTTGACACTTTTTTATGATATACTTTTTGATATGTGTTTTTTCTTTAAACCTAAGATTGACCGATTGCGAATTGCGAACCTTAATTAAGTCGAAGTTTTAGTTCAAATGTCATTTAGTTGTTCAAATGTCATTGTCATTTACCTTGTTTGGATTGCACACAACATGCCGAAAATCGTAAGTATTGCATAAAATGTTTCGTCGGTCGTGTCTCTGTCTTCGTTTAGTCTTTTGTTTGATGATACCTATATCCTTTTGTTAACAGCCGAATCTCCTTGCATTTGGCAAACATTGTCACAATTGTGGAAAGTGGATGGAGCGAAGGGTAATGTTATGTTATGCGAACATAAAATTATTAAATTAAACACCGAATGCTGACACCGCGGAATCCATGGGAATGGAATGCAGAAAGAGAACACCACGGCTTCCCGAGTCATTGTAAATCAGTTTTAAAATTATAAAATCACTTCTTCGTTCAATCATGTAACGATAAGTCGTCTTTAGAATAAAGTAATTATAAGTAAATTTTGGTTTCTTTGGAACCTCCAGCTGTAGTCGACATAATTGGTATGTAAGCAGGTTGTGTTTTTCAGTGAATTTTGTTTTGTTTTCTTAAAGTGTGGATTGTAAGCCTTCTGCATTTAAAAATAAAATAAGTACTTATTTACTTCCAGTGACATGCAATTTTTGTCATGGCAAAATATTTGCAAGAGATGGCAAACAAAAGCAAATGTGCAGTCGATGTGTGGAATGTGACAACATTATACTCGGTAAGCGGCTCAATATTTTTTCTCTATAATTCGACAAATAATAATAAATGACCACATGCATAGCCTGTGTTGAGGTGTCATGAACACTTACAGAAACAGACACGATTTTTTCACGTTTTTCTCGATAATGAAATGAACCCCTTCATGCGCAAGTTCTACTTGAACTTGGCTGGCTCTTATTATACAATAGACATTATTAATTGTATAATATATTTTTGCAGATAATTTCAATAATTGCGAGTGCTGTGGCCTAGAAACAATTAGGCAGTTAAGAATAACCAAAGCTCGGACACTTTCAAACCTTTTTCCAAAAAATCAAACTGCTCCTGTTGCATCTGTTAAATCACTAGCTGCCTCTACAATACAACCTGACAATTCCCAAGATTTATTTGATGATGACTTTTGGGTAAGTTAATGGTGTAGGTCAGTGAGTACAGTAAAATGAAAAATAATACTAATTACCAGATAGAGATGTGAGGATATACCTACATACATTCACAATAGTTATTATTATTTGAATATTTATCTAATATATTTTCTCCTTTAAGGTTGATAACGAAGAGTTGATGATAGTCGAAAAGTAGCTGGTGACTGATGATGTTTCTTCGGACAACGAGAAAAAACAAAAATCAATGCTGTCAGTCTGCAGTGATTTTATTTCTTTAAAAGAAGAGGAGAAAGAAAATATATCAAATGGCAGGCAGACCACGAAGAAGCTTAAATATTCAAGCAGGTTTAGTACAGAACATCAGCCTTCCAGGACTAACTATGTATATTTAGCACTTTCAAATAACACCATTCAAGTATCAGAACATTCAGTTGGTTCTATGATTTATGAATGTGTTCAATGTCAAGCACTTTATTTTTTAGGTGAAAAAATTAAAAAACATTTTAAAAATTGTTGTCATAATGGGAAAGTATACATAGACCCAGATAGAACATTAAAGCCAAGTCCAGATATATTATTAGATTTATATGAAGGCAATACGCCTGATGCTAATCATTTTAAAGCTAATATACAACAATATAATTCAGTATTTGCAATGGCATCCATAAATTCAAACTTGAACACACTCCCTCCAGGATTTTTCACTTATAGGGTACAAGGGCAAGTTTATATAAAAACTGGATCTTTGTTTCCGTTGCAAGGTCATAAACCACAATACAACCAATTGTACATAATTGAAGATAAAGCAGCATTAAATGAACGATTATCTGATTCTAGAAATAACATATGTAGAAGCAATAATGAGGTCTTTACAAACAATGCTCAATGAATCCAATCCTTTTGTCAAAATATACAAAAGAGTGGCTGCAATTTTATCTGAAGAGGAGTTAAAAGCAGCCTCAGAAAATCAACCCAAATATTCAGTATCAATGCATTTTTGTAAACATAAATTATCAATACCACTGAACAAGGCTTGAAAGGTGATAAATATTTATCGAAATTTTGTAATAATCAACCTGTGATGTATAATAGAGAATATTTTTTTATAAGTAGCGTTGCCAAATTCTCAGATAAGTACTCATTGTAAAATTACAATTTACATACTTCCTAATATTATTCTTGATTTAGCCAATTTGGATACAGAACCACAATTTGATTTTTTATTTTTTAATTAGTAAGTACTTATCTACCTGTCAAAGTAGAGAAAAAGACTGAGTGCTTAAAACAAAGAGGTTTACACAGAGTAAACCTTAAAAATTATGTTTTGTTAATTTGTGTTAGTTTAATTTGAGTGTTAATTTGAAATAAAAATAATTTGTGTAAAAACTTTTGCAGTTTTTATTTATTATATTTATTAAACATAACGAACGAAGCTATACGAATCTATGCCTTGCTTATTCCTTTAATATTCCTTGAGAACCGATGACTACAGAAATTTCTACCCACATTTTGCAACTAGACGTAGACGTAGACTACTATTATAAATGCGAAAGTAACGCTGTCTGTCTGTCTGTCTGTCTGTCTGCTACGCTTTCACGCCTAAACCACTGAACTGATTTTAATGAAATTCGGTACAGAGATAGAGTTGACCTTGAGAAAGAACATAGGATAGTTTTTATCCCAGACTTTTGAAAGGTTCTCTTGGAAACGCGATATAACCGAACTCCACGCGGCGAAGCTGCGGGCGGAAAGCTAGTATTTTTCATAAATCATGTCACGATTACATCGTAATTTTTATAATGTTAATGTTACTTATGTGTTGTATTCTTAACAAATAAACAACTTTCTTTAAAAAGCAAACACAATTAATCAAGATTAAAACAGACATATTTCTGTATTGTTCTAATCGATGTTATAAAATTCAAAAGAGTGTTCATTGGCTTTCCTTTTCATTACTTCATTAATATTCTTCGTCTTCTGCCTGGCAATTTCCCAGCTTTAGCTGGGATCTGCCTTACATTTTGCAAATAGTTTTGGTTAAGGGGGCGTTCATAAATTACGTGAGGTGTTTTTTCGAAATTTCTTACCCTCCGCCCCCCTTGGTGAGATGTCCCGAGAATTTCAGAGACTTTAATAATAAGTATAATGAAAATTTAACAATGGAATACTCAAATCGTAAGTATTGTGGTTTAAAAAAGAATATCTTCTCTAATTCAGTCCATGGAGAATCTTGCGCGGTCTCAAGACTCTATTGGAACCAACATGTCCATATGATTTTCTGTAAGTATCGCCATCTCTCGTAATTTCTGTATAGCTTAATGACATGTTGACTGACCACCCATTATAGATGGCGACACTGAAAATAAAAAGTATTTCTAGAAACAGTTTGATTACCATGATAGTGATTTACTCAAAAATTTTGAACCTGATTATTTTAAATTATAACCACAAGTTTTGCATTATTAGACTACCTATGATGTGTTTCTCGTGTTTGTTTAAAAATGGGAATGTATTAAATAACAGGCTTCATATTGCTCCAGAATATTATGGTATGAGTATGTATTGTTAAATTTATATTTTGATAGGTTTTATAATAACTGTTATAATAAAATATTTTAAATTATATTGAGTAATAATAATATGTATAAAAATCGTTCAAAATGTAACTTTGGGAAAATTGTACACTTTTATGAATTATAGATACTAGTAAGACTCTGAAACAAAGTGACCTTGTATTATTTAAAAAAAAATTGTTAAGTCAATTTTGACATTTACATTTGGACAGATTATAGTAAAGGAAGTCAGTGGTGGCCTAGTGGTTAAAGGCCCGATTCTCGTGCATGAGGGCGCGGGTTCGATCCTGGCAAGTACCAATGTGCTTGCCAGTGTGCTCTGATAGGCCGATGACACACGTAGTAAAGGAAATATTTACTTTTACAGTGTGAAGGAAGTCATAATATAATTAGAAAAATATAACTTTTACTATTATTATAACGATGTTATTGTTGTTGCATGGCTAATTAAAATAGCTACAAATATTATTCAGTGTTTCAGGCGGTCTTATGATTTTTTTAAGTCATGTTAACTTTGTAAATTATTATGTAGAATTTGCGGTTGTAGCTTACAGATGCTCATCCAACTATTTGAACAGTGTAGACGCACTCCAATGTTTAAATTTTAAATAATAAGTAATCATAAAATCTGAACAAAGTGATGAAAGTTTTGTTCGTCATTTTTCACTTTGTTTTAATACCCCTTGTATTATCTGATATATTTATATTTTGTTATTTTACCTGCAAAAAAATATATGAGTTAATTCACTCCCTGAACCAAAATTGCTTAATACACAAAATTGGCATCATTAAAAATTATCTTTAAACAAAAAAATATATTGTAAATCCACAAAGTTGCCGTCTGTAATGTATTTTATAAGCAGAGGTATTCCTGGTTATGGCTAAAAGAAAGATGGAAAAGCTAAGCTATTTATTTAATTTCTCAATCATTGCCTATAGATATGTGATAGGCATTTAGTGCAAGAACCCAGGTACGCCTCTCAGTCTGTGAGGTCCCTCGAACGCGTTTTCGTAGGCAGCTCTTACATACTCTCCGTCTTTGGCCAAGGAACGCTTCACGAAATGATGTACCGAATTCTCCGGAGGACGCATCCCGCTCACAAACAGACCAACTGTCAACAATAAGAACGTTATAAACGATAGTTTTATGAAAATCATTTTGTGAAATCAATTTTTCATAACGATCGAATGGTTTTGCGACCGCTATATAAAAGATTTACATGTTTTTTCATGCAATTATCAATGTGGTGCTACAAACGCAATAAGTAGAACATCATCATGTGAGATTGTTTGCGCAACTCATATGTTTCTTAGATTGGTTGCTCGTGTGTGTGTAGATTTTTTAAGCAAACATGCCGTGATCTATATTATTTATAAATACTCGAGGATCAAAAATAAAAATGTACGGATTTAGAAGTACAAGAAATAAAAAATCAAGTTATTTATCTTGTTAGACACGCTACAAAAATACGTATTATGTGTTATTGATACAAACGTAGACAACGGTAACTTTTTATTTAGTATAGGTACCTACTTAAAGTGATTAAATTAAGGATTGAACGACTGAAGGTATTCAGTATATTTTTGATAAACTTAATTTAGAATTAAGACACTGTAATCCACGAGGTGCTTCCAAACATGACAATTCGACACGTCTTAAATAAAATAAATCGAAAAAATCTAGTAAAATTGTATGAAATACAAAACCAGAATCTATTCAAAAAATTGAATTAGATACATAAAAAAATATTCTTAAATCCAATCTTTATTAGGTACTCTTCAATTTTAATAAAGAAAATACTATTGCTAAGTATTTCGTGACCTACCTTGATGTAGGTATGTTAATTAATTAATACCAAAGTAACTGAAGTATTAAAATTTTTACACTAACGTATTTTTTCTATTTTAATAAAAATCTATAATTTATTATGTCAATTTAATAAATAGTCGATTCTCTCAATGCGATTTTGAAAGAGATTTTAGCTGATGGGTAATAATTTGAAAAATATTTTTCTTATTAATTAAAATATATTTTTCTTGAGGTGGTAGAGCCTAGCTGTGGTCAGTTACTACAGCTCGAACATGGGCTGGCTCGACCGGGGAAGTACCACCCTCTCGCAGAAAATCGGCGTAAAGTAGTCTTTACAAGACTGCGTTTCGTCCGGTGAGTGAGAGAGCCGATTGCCCTTTCCTTTTTCCCACCCTTTCCTTTTCCTCCCCTTCCCACCTTTTCCTCCCCCTTTTCCCCAATGAAGGGAAGCAACACTTCCGCAAATCTACGTTGCGGATGTCTATGGGCGACGGTAACTACCTACCATCAAGTAGGCCGTCTGCTCGGTTGCCCCCTTTTCCCATAAAAAAAAATATATAAAATGCATCACAAACTAAAAAAATAGTTTTTTTTTTTCAATAACATGTGTTGTAATAACAATACAGAAAAATACTATGTCTTAGAAAAAATATATCATCTCATAGAGTTAACCCTAAGAGCTAAAATTTATTAGTTCTTAATTGTCATTCCCTTTTATGTATGATGACAAAAACAAAATGAAGAGAAGTTTGGCTCAGCAACTCTTGGGAGTTGTTAACTTGTTACGTACTCGCTACATATGAAGAAAAAAAATGATCATCGCCGGGGCGACATATTTGTGTCGGTAAAATATCTTATAACGAGTGACGCCGCTGACTCCGCGGAACCAACACCAAGCCGTGTGAACCAGAAGATTCCACATACCACACAAGCAATAGAATGCTATTGTCATCCTAAGTTATAAGTTTTAGCACATGCTAATTCGTAATTAGGTACATACCTAATTCGTAATTTAATATACATGTATATTTCGTAGTTTTCCTGGAACCTCCAGTTGCCACCCTATTTAATCGAGTCTATAATATTATGATATCAAACAAAAATAATATTATATACTAAATCATTGTAGTTTTATCAAGACTACGAACCATTTTTTCAAGATATTATATATATATATAGTAGTGTTGATATCGATAGTCCAATATCGATGTTAAAGTCAAAGCCGGTAGTTACTATAATCTATCGATAGTATCGTCACATTTCATCGACATATACTAATGAACATGCCTTAGAGATGAGAATTGTGGGACTCCGAAAGGCACATCTCTTTCAAAATAGTACCGTACTTAAGACGTTGTGAGCCCCTTCTGGATCATTTATATGCCGTGCTTGTCATGAAAACTGAGCACCAATCATCTATGAGGAAAGAGATAGTGCTAGACCGAAAGCATAGGCCATCTCTCTCACTCTTTTCAAACCAAAAAATGACTGCAGATTATACGCGTACGGCACGTCCATTAGTATATGTCGACGCACATTTTAATACTATCGGTATTATAGATGGTCTCGATGGCACTTCTTAAAAAATAGTATCGATAGTAACAATGTTTTGAATTTCTCATGAAATGTTTCTAAATTTATTTATTTGGTTTGTATGGTAAGGGAAGTACTTTGGAATTTTTAATAACCACTATTTAATAAAAGTATACTCTTTATTACTTTTATTTTATACATCACTTTGGATTTAGTATCGATACTTATACCTTCAATACTATCGATTGTAATGATAGTTTTTGAGTTTAAATAGCAAATTTTGCAAAACTATCGATAGTGTTGAAGGTATAAGTATCGATAGTGTTACCACTTACAATAGTAATGTATAAAAAGTGTCATCGAGGCTACCGATAATATCGATAGTATTACCATGTGACGATGCTATCGATATTTTGAATAGTTTTAGAGGTCAACTATCGATGATTTGCAACACTGATATATACAGTGTAAACTCCATATAACGACACTCGATTTAACGACAAACTCTCTTAAGCGTCGAAATCATTTCACTTTGGTTGGTTTAGCTTGTCTACCATACAATTATACACTCTATATAGCGTCACAGCCACTCTCAATAACGACAAAATTAAGTAATAAAAAGTACCCTTTAAGTTGCTACAATTAGTAAAAAATGCGCAGCTGTGTACGTTTTATGTCGCTTTGTTATCCTAGCCCGCTTTAAACTCCACTGTCGTAATCATGCATACCAAACTTTCTAAGAAATTCGTTCTTCACCAATATGCCTCAATATCGCAAGATATGAATAAAATACGTAAATAATACAACAACACATTACTGGTACAGCAAAACACGTCAAACAAAAACAACAGACTTTATAACATTCTTTTTTATGTACATAAGTACTAACAGTAGTCTGAAACAAACTTTGTCTTTTTCTAATTCTGATTTTTCTTCCCTCTATTTAACGGCAACTCTCTATAACGCACTAAAATCCACGGTCCCTTCAGTGTCGTTATATAGAGTTTACACTGTATTTCCAATTAAACAATCTTTGTAATCTTTTTTTGCTATTAGTGTAGAATAACATAGTAATATATATAGCTTTTGAATGGTTATCACAAAATTATTTGTCTCGTTTAGATAGTGCGTCTTGATTTCATTTTGTGATGAAATGTGACCTTTTATAGAAACTTTTTTTTTCTTTTCAGCAAAAAAAGTGCAAGAAATGGAAAAAATGCGAAGGCTAGAATATTGAATTATCGTAAAAACCTAATTATAAGAATAATAATATATAATCGCTTCTCAAACACAGTAACAAGATATATAACTGACAGACGTCAAGTTGACAGATACGCCTTCTAAGTCATCTTCATGATGAAAAATTGCGATAAAAAGGTTCTTAAAAAACTGGCCATTGTAAAAGAGCCGCTAAATACCAATTCAAATAAAAAACTCACTTTTTATCTCTAGATATACCTATCTCGAAAACACTCGTCACTGATCTTACCCCCAATGGAATTTATGATGTAATACAAATATTACTCATAAAATTTAGCTCAACTTAATTTAGATAAATAATAATATCACTTAACTTTTAATATAGTTAAACAATAAAAACAACTGGTAGATATAAATGAAGTCATTTATTTTTGGATAATATATTTTTAAACACATAAAAAAGACATAGCACAAACATGAAATGCAAATTCCTTATTAGTTATATTCTGGTTGATTAGCACAGTATTCTTTAACTTTTGGTAGATTAAGAACAGTTTGTTCTAATTTCTTGAACTTCGGGTACTTCTCATCTAAATCTGGCATAGCGAGCATAACCTTCATACGATCATACATACCAGCAAACATGAAATCAGCCCAAGTCAACTGAAACATATTATTATTTCAAAATTATTAATGTATATTATTCATATGACCTTAAAATTAATATTATTCTAATTAGTAATCAAAACATTTAAAATATTTACAATCTTACAAACTATATCAAGAATTATATTTTTGTATACAATGTATGTAAAATCTGAGTTATCAAATCAAACACAACATAGTGTTTATTGTAATAAGTGATACATTACCTTTCCGACAGCCATGTAACCATTATTTCTTGTAATAATATCATTCAGTCTTTCAAACATTTCAGGGAAATAGTTATTATAAAGTTCTTCTTTTAATACAGCTTTTTTCTTTTCATCCTTTTCATAGTGGAGAGAAGCGGCCCCTGCAATGTGACACAAAATTGATTATAATTATTGTATAACAGAGTTTTCAAATATTATAAACTCAGTCTCTAATAACTAATGATTTCTTTAATAAATAAAATACAAAAATTTTAAAAAGGTTATATATTTTTGAGGTTGACTGACAAAATTAGTGACTATACAACTGTTTAATTCTAGAACATTCCAATACCCACTTAAACGTAAATCATTAAAGAAGTCCACAACTTGGTCGATCTCAAAGTCTTCCTCAAGAGTTTTTCCTCCAAGACCATTTTTCTTTCCCAAATAACGCAGGATGGATGAGGTTTGTGCATGACGCTTGCCGTTGATCTCAATCACTGGCACTTGACCGAAGGGTGTGTCTGAAATTGTATGTTTTTGCAATCAATACTTATTTTAAATGAATAAATTATTAATATAATAATACCACATAGTCATTCCTTAAGTACTTCATAATAATATTACAATTAACGAACATATAAAGGTCTAAAACTAATACATACTTGGTTTTACAGTGGGCCACTCCTCCTCAGATATTCTTACATATTCAAAATCCTGGCCAACATACGCCAGAATAAGGCGGATACCTTCGGCCATAGCCTTCAAGGGGAAGTATAAAACCTTCACATTGTCCATGGTTACTGCTGGGGATTAGACATTATATATTAATATTTTAATATATGATTTACGGGTACTTAACTATTGTACGATAATATTAACTAAGACCTATTTATAGAAATATGAAAAGTATTCAATATTCAATAAAGCTATTATTGCTACAAAAACTTTCCTGCTAAGATTTCAAACATTGTCATTACAATTCAATCTACTGTATTTGTATTGGAAATCATAAGCAATTTAATAACCTAAGAAAAATACAATAAACTATCTTCTTTTATAACCACTTGTAACACGTGAACACAAATAATATACGGTGTACTAACAAAACACTTCACTTACTTTATTTTTCGCTTCTTATAAAGAAGAAAAAAAACCTGTTAGAGTATTTCGTACAGCGACCCACCACTTTCAATGTCGGAGAGTGAATTCAGAGTGGCTAAAACTAAAAAATATTTATTATCATCAACTGGAGTTCACTCGCACTCAATCGATGTCCTTGAAAACAAACAAGCTCTGTCAAGTGTCAGTGTACACATGCGACGACCGGTTAAAAATTAAAAAAAATATATAAACATGATAACAGACACGATAATAATATGGAAAACTTATATATGTATAAATTTAAAATACCGTATTTTATAATAATGGAATATACAATGAATATTAATTACTTCTCACGTTTTATACGGTTTTCCAACCGCCAGTTTTGAACGCGGTACCGGCATCAAATAATTTCCATGACGTCTTGATGTTTTTGGGAGTTATAATAGTTTTAAGTATTAATCTCACATGATAATCCATATCGCATGTATAATATTATGTACATAACAACAGCAAATAAACTATCTATATACAACGCACCTCCGCTCAAATAGTGTCACAACTCAAAAAAAGTTGAATTCAATTTTATTGCACTATTGGAATCAGAAAACTTCGAAATCTTATCTCAAATAATGTCATGCCCATAGTTCAACTATTTATCCATAGATTTCAATATTTCGTAAATTATTCGTTTTTTTCATCCTTAAAGTGTCACAACTCAAAAATTGTTATTTTTTTTTAAATATATTCCAAAATTCCACCATTTTGTTGAGTGTCAAAAATCATTATAACTTACTTAAAATCATATTGCAGTAACTTTCACAGTTTTTGAGTGATGAGCCGAAAAGTGAAAAATAAAGTTAGCATTAACTTCAAACGCGTTTTATTCGAAAGTTGGGATTTTTGACTTATGACACTATTTGAGCGGAGGTGCGACAAATAAGTGATATTGTGGTCTAAGTTAACAAAAGAGTTTTAATTAAATAAGTAATTTACACTGACATGTTATTATTGCTGCCTTTGTAAATTATAAGCTTCATCATAATATAATTAAGTTTTTTTTATACTTTTAACGTGGGTTTCGTGGAATCCCATCTCGTTCGTATACCGGAATAAAGCAAACAAAAAGCCTCTTATTTCTATCATCACCGCTGTATCTATTATTTCTCACTTGTAGCTTGTCTTGGTGTCTCAGTTTAATCTCTTTATTTTCTACTTTTAGCCCCCGCAAGAAAAAGTGGTTTATTACTGGTTTGAAGTGTGTTTGTTTCTTATTGTGTTTGTGTACATGTGCATGTGTGAATCTGTGGCATCGTAGGTTTCAAAAAAATCGCCAAGTCTTATTAAAATTATGGATGTAAACAAATGAATGTAAACGTTTTTTTAAAGATGAGTTATTTGATCATAAAATATTGATACGTATCTATCTCTTGACACTAAACGATTTAGATTCCTTAATATTTTATATCGAAGGCAGTCAACATAAATGACAAATGATAATATCACACATGATAGCAAGACACTCCCTCGCAGCACACCTCTTTAATATTTAAACTGGATTCAGTGCCTTCAAGAGTAACTTTAAGCTTACAATTAAACATTTTGTGATATTTTTTTCAACAACCATTTATAATAAACATACTCAAAACCCTTGTTCGTGTCAAACGGCAATGACTAGAATTCGTAACTAAAGATTCTGTTATAGTTTTAAACAAATGAAAAGCCGTTTTTCTTGGATTTTACATATATCTTTTTCGTTTTAGAATCGAACATTATCATTCTTTATCTTGGGTTTTATAGAATGACATAAGAACTTTATTGTAATCTGTGTGGAAAATTTTCCCCACTCAAAGATAACTTGATTAAAAAACTATACCAGCCAAAATTCTTTGGACACACCTATATAACCGTCATGACCACTTCAGCAAATCATTTGAATTATAGGTACTTATATAATATATTTTATTTGCGTAATTACGCCAATTATGGCGATAAATTTAAATTTCTTGAAACCAAATCTACATCAAGTTGATAATATGTAAGTTTTTCATATTAGCAGTGCCTCTTATCAGGATGTCTAGTGATCGGGAAACTTTAAATAATAATTTAACTGCCTATAAGCTTGATATATTTAAAACAATACATAAGTCTAGTATTATAATACATATGTTTTAATATACATATGTACTAATATGTATAAAGTGGTGACAGCCATTCAAAAAGTCAGTATAATCCACTATTATTTTTCGTTTTCTTAACATTTTTAGCTGCCTAGGTAATGGTACTTGCATGTACTCGTAGTTTCGTGTTAATGTGATAAGTAAAGTATCCAGTGGCTGCTGGGGGCTGATTTGTGCAATTGGGTGATTATTAGGTTGATAATGACAACTTATAAAGTGTAGGCATAGATTAATGAGAATCAATGAGTCGGTGGACCACTGGTTGCCAGACGGATAGTAAAAATGCAGGGACCGCCTTATGTTTTTCGAAAGGCTTAACAGCCAGCCGGCAAAATAATAATGTCATCACTGATGCATTGAGGGGGTGTTGAAGTTGATATCCTATGGAAATCTTTAGGTCAATCCTTCATTATGCTTTATGAAAGATGATCATGAAAGATGAAGTCCTTATATCGGCTTTCCTTTTCACATTTGTGTATTTCTGCAACATCAGGGTACCTCAATCTAACTTGCAAGTAGCATCAGTATACTGGGAGGACAATCATTTTGTTCTTAAGGAAGCAAATATTGGCCCCAATACGAAAACTGCGAACTATCGGTCTTTTGAGTATGTGCAAATAATGTTGACACCCTTGTATTTATGCGTACTTACGTAGATCCCAAAGCATATTAAAGACACACAATTTTGTTTGAGAATCTCAAATTGACAAATGTATAATGTATTATTATTTTTTATTAACAATCTATGTATAATTTTTTAAATGAGTCATTGTTACTTGATAATAGAAATAAATAAAAAAAAAATGTCAACAAAAATTTGCAAAATTCGTGCGCCGAGTTATTTTTTCGGTGTATTTAAAGACTATTGATGTTCTCAGTCCACTGATGACTGACTACAGCCATAGCCCATGAATTTGATTAAGCATTTGAATTCTGACTGATAGTTAATTAGCCAACAAGAATTTTACTAGATAGAGGATACTATACGAATTCTTTACCCGATCTAGTACTTACTTCAAAATCGGAAGGATAATCCACCACAGTGGACGATAATTCTTCCGGGATACACAGTCTTGCTATATAGACAGCAAGTCCTACTAAACGGGGAGAATTGCTCTTATCTCTTTTTTGATTCATTCTAATGCCAACTTGGATTATTTGACTTCGGTTGAAAACGAGATATGTATAAGAATTATCCCAGACACAGACAGTATTGAGCCATTAAGTTTAAAGAAAAATTTGCCCATCTGTGAGCATTTTTCCGCTTATATAATGGGACCTTTCAAAGGAAATTCTTATCATGCACGATTTCTCTTCTGGATAAAAACTGCAATGATGTGACTTTCCTACTAGTTTAAAATACGGGATTCTTTAAGAGAGGAGTGAATAGATATTTTAGGGATCAACAACTAGCAAGTAATTACGATAGGGCAAAACAAGGCCTATCTGATGTATAAATAATACGCATTTCTTAAGTAAATTGTTTTTTTGCCACAATTTTTGGATGAGGTTGGTTATAATTAAAATATAAACAAGAAACAAAAGGTCTATATTATTGTTATGTTCTCAATATAATATTGGTCCTAAACATTTTATAACACAATGAAGTATACACAATAAAATCATTCATATATACATATTTATACATTTGAGAATCATTTAATTAAAAAATAGGAATGAAAAGTGTTAGCTATTAAACATCAATAATACTTTCGTGAAACTTAGAAATCGGATTTGGGTGCTTTGTCGCAAAACTCTTTGACTTTGGGTAGACTGAGCACTTTTTGTTGCAACTCCTTGAATATCGGGTACTTTTCATCTATATCCGGTATTTGGAGAAGGAATTTCAAAACGTCGTATATACCAGCGAACATAAAATCAGCCCATGTCAACTGGAAACCAAATAAAATACAAATATTATTACTAATAATATAGAATAATAATAATAATTTTCTTTAATAATATAGAAGAAACGCGTAAGTTTTTTTTGCGTTAAAACATTACAATCATATACATATAGGCGCTATCAGCATTAATAACGGATGCAACATGAAAATAACTTGAGCCTGTCATCAATTATTATAAAACGTTATTAGTATTCATGATTATTGTTAAAAGTTAAACGACTGAAAGATTCTTTCAAAAGATAATGAAACTATGTTTAAATTTTCAGCACAGTACAGCAGAGTTCAGTTAGCGCGGACTATTAAAGAATGTGATTATGAAGAACCTTCGAGAAATACAAGAACATTAAGTACAATTGAAGTTTCATTTTAAAATATCATGGAACGTTCTAAAAGAAGTGACATTAGTGGCGTCTTCAAAACTGGCGTCTCTATCTATAAAAACAATGAATTTCTATTAAATCCGATATATACATACACAACATACAATATCTCAGACGTCCTTAATCTATATCTAATTATATTTATCTACAATGCCACTTAGAATCATAGATAACAAACACTCTTGTAGGGTGTAATCTTAATATGTAACTAATAATAGATTTTCTATCATATTGACGCTTAGTAAAGTTTGACTTTATTTTCATCTATACAACGAAATACATTAATTTAAAAATTGATATCTAAATTTGTTTTCGAGGCCTAGAGGTTAACCCTGTCTATCGTGCATAAGGGCGCGAATTTGAAACCTGGTTCTTCAGTAATATGTACTTCCTAAGAGTATTAAGATACCACTGACATACGGTGAAGGAAAATATCGTGAGGAAACCTGGACTTATAGTTTCACAATTATAAGTTTGAAATCACCAACCCGTCTTGAGCAAGCGTGGTGATTAATGCTCAAACCTTTTCCCTGTGAGAATAGGCCTTTGCTCAGTGGGCTCTGATAGACTGATGATGCTCTAAGTTTAAGCCTGGAGAATTAAATATTTTGTCTGTAATTAGAGAAAAATTTACCCTTCCAAGAGCCATGTGTCCATTATTTTTAGTAATAATATCGTTAAGTTTCGCCAACATTACAGGAAAATGGTTTTTTTGTAAATCCTCTCTCAGTGCGGCTTTTCTATCCTCGTCCTTTTCGTAGAACAACGAGCTAGCCTCTGAAACAAAAGAAAAAGTACTTTTAAGTAATAAAAATCAAGAAATACCTTTCAAATAGCACATACAACATTAAAATTTTTGGCCAAAAAATTATAATCAAGTACTTATATATTTCTTTAACCCTGAAAATAGTTTAAATTACAATTTTTCCAAGTAATCTTGCAACGCAAAAATTTGGAAAGATTCTAACAACATTCTGAGAAAGTTTTTCCCTCAATAGTCGAATAACCCACTTGTTCGTAAATCATTAAAATAGTCCATGTTTTGATCGATCTCAAAGTCTTCATCCATATTCTTTCCCCCAAGTCCGTATTTTCGTCCCAAATAACGGAGGATAGCTGACGTTTGCGCGTATTGCTTGCCATTTATCTCGAGAATAGGCATTTGACCGAATGGAGTATCTGAAAAATTGTGTATACAATATATGAATAAATATATAACAATAAATAATAATCCTACTAATATTATAATTGCGAAAGTTTGTGAGTGTGTGTGTATGTTTGTTACTTCTTTACGCTCAATGGGCTGAACCGATTTTGATAAAATTTTGTATACAGGAAGCTGACGTAAAGGAATAACACATAGGCTACTTTACATCCCGGAAATCCGCAGGTAATACAGAGGGGGGCGCGGCTAGTAAATCATAAATAACATAACACGTGTAAAAGAATACAGAATCAAACATACTCGGTTTCAAAGCGGGCCATTCCTCATGAGGTATCCTTACGTCTTCAAAATCTTGGCCATTATACGCCAGAATAAGGCGTATACCCTCGGCCATTGCCTTCAAGGGGAAGTATATTACTTTAACATTCTCCATGGTTACTGCTGGGGATTACATATTCTACATTAATACTTTTATATATAAATTGGTACATATATAAAACAGAATACAATTACAAGTATCTAAATATGAATATATGTCAACTTATACAGGGTGACTGGTGAATTACTATCAATATTTAAGGAGAATACTCGGTACATGATTCTCATTCAATTATGTAAAAAAAAATAGGTACTTAATTTTTGACCAAATTTCCGTATAAATAAATAAAGTGTGGACACGTTCCAAGTGTTCCAAGTGTGGACGCGTGCGGCGGCGTGCTAATACAACACCACGCCGCCGCACGCGTGTGTGTGTGTGTGTATACCTAATCTGTAGGGTGTTCACACGATGCGTAATTAATTACATAACTTTTGGTTAACATTACTTAGAAGTTTATTAATACATATTTATGTTATATTAATTTTTATTTTGTCATATATGATCGTCAAATATCACGTCCTCAAGTATCGATAGTAATTCACCAGTCACCCTGTATAAAACATATTATTTTTATTTAGTCAATGACCAATGTTCGTTTATAAAAATATGTACCTATAATATTTAAGTGTTGCTACATGAACTTTAATTATTTATTTTCCACTGGCAACACTATGTTAGATTTGAATATTACAATTATTTAAATATATCTATTCTTATACATCATAATTAGAAAAGAATTGAATTGAATTTGCTATTATAAATTAGAATATCAACATAATAATTTAAAACACTTACTGTTGTAATGAACGCGTCACTCACTATTGTAATGATAATATTATCTAACAACAACTTGTTTTATAGAACGATACACTCTATCTAGTTTCGGACGGCGAGTGAACAAAACTACTAACTTGAAGTGACGCGCTCTAAACGACCTTGAAAATGTCAATTATTTACTTCCACAATAATATTAACAACGAATAATATGTAATTAATACTTTTAATAATTATTACTATAGTATTTCTTTTTTTTTAAATTATAAACAATGTATTAAGATCATTTAATTATTTATTGTGGCTTTGACACAAATTAAATCAGCCTCAGAATATCGTCTGTATTGCACAAGGTATTTCAATACACATTTTTATAACAAATAAATATTGTTACAGTATCTAATAACAACTTAAAAATGTTTGTAATATTAAAACTATTTATTTATAAATACATAACTGGTAGTATAAATAAATGAAATAGAAAAGAAAGTTGAAATAGTAGAGCTCAGAATAAAATGAATATCATAACTTTAATATTTGATATGTTTGACAGTTACGGTAACGGCCATATTTAAATTCCTCAAAAATAATTTAAAATATTTTAACATATTATTTTTATGTTCACACGCGACATTTGATTACTTATATAATTTTAATATATCATTTGGCATTCACAGAATAAAAATAAAATATTTTTAAACAAACAATTGTATGTAGATTAAAAATAATTGAAGAATTTAATAACGCTAAAATAACATAGTATCACTGTGCTTCTATATTTCAATGACGTCAAATGAAATAATATAAAAAAATAACAAACAAGTGTTAATTTTACAGATTCAATGGCAAACTTTTTCTGTAAATATTATTAATTATCTAGATTATAAAACGTTTTATTTACTGAACATTTCCAAAATGTCATATTTCATGCAAAAATGTCATATTCTAAAGTAAAAGTATAATGTCTGCTTCTGTTGCAGTTATTGCACTTTGATTTTATATCTAGTTATTTTTGTATTTCGGGTACTATTTGATAATGAATCGGCAGTTGTTTGAACATGTAATGATATATTTTACTTGTAGTGTAACAATTCACATTTATCATTGCAGATAAATTAAACATAATATTATAATTCTGTAACAATCTGGCAACATTTAAAGTGCGTCACTGTTGATAACTCTATTCGTTTTTTTGTTTATATAATTCCCAGTTAAAACTTTGTCTTGTAAAAATTCAAGAAAAACAAAGCACAACATTTTAACTAATCAAACAATATATTTGATAATTAACAACTTATAATTAAAATAAAAGTAATGTTTTCGGATCACTACGCGTTCTTTTTTATTATTTTTTTTAAACTACAGAAATTTTCATCTCGTTTGACCTTGATAAGTTACTGTAAAGTAACCGGAACGTCGCGTCAGGAGTACGTAATTTTTAAAAAATACGAAAATATTAGTTTTATTTAAATGAATTTGCTCTAAAGTCTCATTATTTTTTAACAATATACAGTCTAGATTCTATACTGAAAATAACGTGTTAGCAACAATTAATTATCGACTCCTTTTAACCTATCAATTGATATTATTGAAAACAAGAAATAAGATAACTTTCAAGTATCAATTGAATCAACCAGTCATCGCTATCAGTAACAACGGCTATTGTTGCATTACAAGAGTTTTGTTTACGCCCTTACAACCGGTTCCGGATGTACCCCAGCGGACCCCAGAATGAAAGACGGTTTGTAAACATGGTGTACTAAAGATAACATTATTATCGGTTCAAAGAAACGTACTCTCTGTCTTTAATTGTATACTTACTATTAGTGTGCATCGTTACATTACATAAATTTTCAGGTTTCCTTTTATAAACTTTACCTAGTTGATGAGAAATTAAGATCGTAAATATTGTAACGATGTTGACTTTAGTAAGGTGTTTTTGTTGAACAAAACACAGTCACAAGGCAATATTATTGCTTATAAGGAGTATCTTTCAGTAATATTACCGGTTAAATGGATGTAACTTAAAAACCTAAACCCTATTCTAAAAAAGCAAAATTCAATTTAAAAGAAAAGATAAAAGTATCTTGTTGTAGCTATTAATATGAACCGCATCTTAAATATCTATCAGAAAAGTTCGTTTTTTTTCAATATTTTATGAGCCTATAGACTGGCCAAATTTTGGTAGAAGTTAATAGTAGACATAGTCTTTTCAAGGAGCTCAGTGTTAGTCAGTCATAACTCATAAATATTTTTAATTCCAGTATATTTAATTCACCCAAACCTTGACCGTTGGCTTGCGTCTACTTTTTCCTAGAATTGTTATCGTAATAAATTTCACACATTTTTACAATATTCCATTATAAGACATAAAATAACGTTATAAATTTTATCTGAATTGATTTTTAAGTTGTCAGTGGTCAGTCATTTAAATAGAAACGATATATTGTTTCATTCTGAGTGTTTTCAAACGAAATATCGTTTTTATACGTGTAATATTATATAAAGGTGATAATATAGTAAGCAATGAAAGATAAAAGAATTAAAAAGAATATTAAGGGAAACAAATTCGACTCTTCAAATAGTGTAATATACAAACTTGACTGTGGCTTGTCACACATTGGACAGACAAAGAGGAGCATCATTACAAAAGTCAAAGCATATTTCTCATTTATTGTAAATACTCGTGCGTCGAAGTCCGCAGTGTGTGAACACACAATGACAAGCAAAACCTATACATCCGGTTTGAAAAAACAGATTTATGAAACTGGCAGAAATAGTTTTCAAATGAAAATAACCGCATGAAAATTGGTCGATCAGTTTGAGATATAAGATGTCACAGACGGACATACAAACAGATGTGGACGTTGAATTCATAACACCACTCTTTTTGACACAGTTTAGTTTACTTCAAAACATATAGCATTTGTCAATACTAGTATCGAATTAGTAATTCACAACCCCAACTAAATTACTACATCTCACAATATTTCGTTATAATAATAATAATACAGGGTGACTGGTGAATTACTATCAATATTTAAGGAGCATACTCGGTGCATGATTCTCATTCGAATTATGTAAAAAAAATAGGCACTTAATTTTTGACCAAATTTCCGTATAAATAAATAAAGTGTGTACACGTTCCAAGTGTTCCAAGTGTGGACGCGTGCGGCGGCGTGCTGATACAACACCACACGCCGCCAACGTATGTGTGAGTGTTTGTGTATACCTAATCTGTAGGGTGTTCATACAATGCGTAATTAATTACATAACTTTTGGTTAACTTTACTTAGAAGTTTTTTAATATTTATGTTATATTAATTTTTATTTCGTCATATATGATCGTCAAATATCACGTCCTCAAGTATCGATAGTAATTCACCAGTCACCTTGTATAATTACACATTTAATTTATTACAGAAAGAAAACTAAGTGATTTTATTTATATTCTCTACGAGCTCTAAATATATTTTATATCAATGGAAAATTGCTAAAGTATATCTGTAACATTTGACATATAAATATAAGTTGGAATTATCAAGTAGGTACCAATGTGATGTTCCCGAGTCATATGTACTCTCTAAGAGTATTTAGATACCACTGACTGATGAAGGAATACATCGTGAGAAAACCTGGACTTATAATTTCAAATTATAAGTTTGAAATCACCAACCCGTCTTGAGCAAGCGTTGTGTATGGTGATTAATGCTCAAATCTTTTCCATGTGAGAAGAGGCCTTATAGCAGTGGGCTCTGATAGGCTGATGATGATATAAATATACGTCCAGAAACATATATAACTGTATATAATAAATGTTTCATGAGAATTATGTTTGTCATTATAAGAATTTAACCATACCGCTGCATCATAACACGACAGTCGAATACAACGAGCGGTAATTGTATCTGCCAGGGTCAAATAATATATTATATAAATAATATTTAAAACACAACTCTAATTTAATAAACATAAGAGTGATTTTGAAACAGTTAACTTGTATATTTAAATGAAAACCGCCGTGACACATAGGTTTTACAAAAAATCGATTCAGTATGTAATTATATTTAATATTAGTAATACTGATATATAAGGCTTGATAATGCTCATTTTAACGAAAATTGTTTTATACGAATTTATTATAGATTTTATTCTAATTTACGATTACTTTAAAAAAACCTTGATAACAATCAAACAAGATGAAAGCTTTCATTAATTCATGAAGAAGAATTACGAAATAAAAAATGCTATCCATCTTTAATATATAATAGCTTGACAACTAGCGTTATTTTCAGTTCAATATAAATAAATGGTTTCTTTGAAATACTAAACTAGGTCACAATGAGAACTAAACTACATCTAAACCTAGAACGCAATTACTCTATTGAGACTCCTTCACGAATGTCCTCGTTATTCAATACATGTAACTGATACGTATCTATATGGCCACTGATTTTAAAATAAATCAAATAAATATTTCGTTTTAACTCTTGTTATTACTCGTTTTTGTTTTTTCAGCGTTGCTGGGTACGGATCGATTACGAATGCATAACTCATAAGTATTGATTATCGATTATCCAAGGGTCCAGGGTTCAGGTCCCTGTTCGGGCGCCAACCAAAATGAGCGCGCAGGTTACAAGTAAACGAAGACTGACTTAATGCTATTTATTTGATATAGATTACACATATGGATGTTGCACGTTCAATGCTTCGTTACGCACTGATGATCTTGACCGAGTCCCGCGTTCTCGCGTCGTAGCTAATAGTTTATATGAGGCGTTTACATTCTTGGTAATTGGCTCCAACATCCTCCCCCCCCTCGAAATCCTTCGATGTTCGAGTGACGTCCCTTGAATTTTCTAAAGAACAGAGGTTGTGTACAGCTCTACGGACGACTCCCTTGGAGGTGAAGACATCGGCGACTCTAGCAATTCCATCGGATCCTGGATAAAGTTTTTGGATTCGTGCCATTCGCCACTTAAGAGGTGGTAGGTTCGCTTCCTTTATGATGACCAGATCGCCTTCGTTGAATCCTTTTCGCTCGACTCTCCACTTAGACTTCTGCTGCAGTTCGTAGAGATATTCGTGCTGCCAGCGATCCCAAAAATGTTGTCGCATCCTTTCCAGAAGTTGGTATCGGTTAAGTCGATGTGGATTGAAGTTCATCAAGGTTTCGGATGGCAGCGCTGTTAATGGTTTACCGATCAGAAAGTGCGCAGGAGTCAAGGGATCTAGGTCAGTGGGATCCGATGAAAGAGGAGTTAAGGGCCTGGAATTAAGGATTGCTTCAACTTGCGAGAATAAATTCGATAGTTCTTCAAATGTGAAATGTTTATCGCCTAATATACGTATTATGTGGTGTTTTGCAGCCTTAATGCCTGCTTCCCAAAGATCCCCAAAGTGAGGGGAGAAAAGTTAAATTTTATGCCTTGCTCAGCGGCAAAACCTATAATATCTTCATTGTTTTTTAAGAGGTTGGTTAGAAAGTTATTTGCGCCAACAAAATTGGGACCATTATCGCAATATATTTCTAATGGTTTACCGCGACGAGCTACAAAGCGTCGTAGACACAAAATGAAACAATCAGTCGTCAATGCTAGCTACCTCAAGGTGCACGGCCTTTGTACTAAAGCAGATAAACAAACACATATAGCACTTCTTTAACTATATAGCAGAACCAATTTAGTGCAACTTTTAGATACTATTATTAACGTTTAGATAATACGTAGCATAACAATAAATATATTTTTTATTTAGATACATTAAGAACTAACAATAATTTGCATACTGCGAAAGCAAATACCTAGGTACTTGAAAATTGGATATTGAAGCTAAGTTCGACGCAAAGTCTGTCCATTGTTTGAATATAGATTTATCCACTGGATCATCCCAGTCCATTTTCGATAGCCACAGCTTTTGTAAAATTATTTTAGGGATGATGGTACATGGGCCCAGTAATCCCAGTGGATCAAAAAGCTTTGCTGAGTTGGACAAGACTATCCGTTTTGTGGCAACTTGATCAAGTTGCAACTTAGCTGAAAATTGCGATACGTCTCTCGATGGATCCCAATTCAGACCCAAAACTGTCGAGTGAGACGTATGGTCATATTGATGATGACATATTTTAATTTTATATGTGGGTTCATCGCGCCACAGAATTAATTGTAAATGTTTTTGCTTTGGAACAACTAGTATTTGACGATTCATCTTTTCGACGTCTGCTGACACAACATATCGATGCTGCCGATATCGTAAAAGAATTGAAAGTAAATCAAAAACCTGTACTACAGGTCCGATATATTGTACATCATTGAACGAGACACCAGAAGATGTCTTTGAAGAGGCATCGAATACGACACGAAGCTTAGTAGTCTCGCTAGACTCTCGAATGACAGCGTGATGGGGCAAGTAGCATCCAAATGCTGGTCGAGGAACTTCGGTCATATGACCTAACTGTTCATATTCGTGAATGAATTCAAGATATTTTTGTTTAAGAGCTGGTTTAGTCTTAAATTTCCTTTGTAATTGCAACAAGCGTTTTTCAGCTATATTGTAAGAATCACCCAAGCACTGAGTAGATTCTTTAAGAGGAATTTGAACACAAAATCTACCGTGAGCATCTCGATAAGTAGTATTTTTAAATAAGTTTTCGCAATAATCATTGGTAAGAGATTCGACATTAGAAGGCACCTCTTCGAGTTCCCAGAATTTACGAAGCTGCTGGCTTTATCCAATGAAAAATGACAAAATGATTTACGATTCTTATTGTTACTATGAATAGCAGTTGGACCCGCTACAATCCATCCCAGCTTCGTTTCCTGCAAGATTGGGCCTTGAGGTCCTAAATTTATCCTGCTTGATTCCAACAAGTCCCAAAATACATCAGCACCCAATAAAAATTCAATATCGGAAGGTTCAAAGAACTTTGGATCGGCAAGTTGGACATGACACGGAATGTCCAAATGTTGTACGTTTACTGCAACATTGGGTAATCTATCAGTGATGTGAGGTAACACAAAACATTTAACACGCATAACTAACGAACTGTTTAACGACCCTATATCTAAATAGCAATGTTTTGTGACATTGAAGACACTACTTCCTATACCTGATACGCTATGGTAATCAGAATCAAAATGTTGCGAACCTGTTTCCCTTAGAGCCCTGACAGTCACAAAAGAAGACTGACTGCCACAATCTAGTAAAGCTCTTAATATGCATGTTTTACCGTTACTCGTCACCTTGACTAAAGCAGTAGAGAGAAGTGATTGATTGGTAGAAATGGCAGTCATGGAAACCGAAGCAGAGCTACTCGGCACTTCGGAATCCGTAGCGACCGTGGCGGCAGGTGATAGCGTAGGTAAGTTTTTACTATTATTATCACTTTGTTCTTGAATTTTAAATGATTGCTGTATAGAATTTTGTTTATGTATTAAAGTGTTATGTTTTTTGTGACAAATTCTACACCCACCCATCCTGCACTGATAGGCTTGATGCCCCTGACGAAGACAATTGGAGCATACATTTAGTAATTTAAGTTTATTAATTCGATTAGAGACTGGTAGTGACTTAAATGTGTTACACTCGTATAATTTATGATTCTGTTTACAGAGAAGGCACTGCGCGAAGGGTGATGGTGATTCTATAGAAGAACTAAGGAATGATTTTGTGTTGGAGAAACTAAGGCGTTTATCAACTTTACTGGGTTTATTAACATTCATTGTTTCTAATACCATAGAACGCTTTCGAAGAAAATCATAAAAATCGTCCAGTGTGGGCGCGTCTTTATTACTTCTATATTCCTCCCACTTCCGAGAAGTAACACTGTCTAATTTGGCAGAAGCTAAAAAAATAATTAACGTATCCCATTTGTCCGTCGGTTCACCTAAAATATGTAAGGCGTTTAGGTTTTTCGATAATGTATCGATAAGGTTACGTAAACCACTGTGGGATTCCTTAGTTAAAGATTCGATGGAAAACAAGCACTTTATGTGTTCATTTATCAAAAGACGTTTGTTATCATATCTTTCGCATAACAATTTCCATGCGAGGCTATAGTTGTCGGATGAGACACTGACTGAGTTTATGACAGCGCTAGCCGGCCCTTCCAAGTACGTCTTGAGGTAGTGGAACTTGTTAACATCGACAATCGTTTCATTGTTATGTACTAACGACACATATGTATCCCTGAATGACAACCATTTGTTCGCCTCACCATTAAAGGGAGTGATTTTAATTGGGGGCAATTTTAAATGACAGTCCGGACGACTTTTGTTAGATGAAGATTCTAATTTATTTTTATTTTCGAAAAAATCGATTAATGACTGAGCTTCGGCCGATAAACGAAAAAATATATTTTCATTAAATTCGCGTTCTTGCATTTGTTTTGACGTATCTTCATCCAACATTTCAATCTGCGATTGAATATCATCAAAAGTGCATGATAAATCACGAATCTTGCTTAAGCGCAAGCGCAATTCATTCACCTGTACTAAACTAATTTCTTTACACTCTAACAAAGGTTTTAAATATTTTTCAAACAATGTTACACGAGCCTTAATATGTCCCCTTTGTTTGATAAGTTCCTTTACGTCACTCATAATGACGGTGCAATATTTAAATATTATAACGCTTCGCGTATATATAACGAATCAGATGTTTATAACTACGACGTTAAGAATTAAATAAACCGCTAAACACCATATAACACAAGCTATTTGTACAAACAACAATTTTAAGAATAATTTTATTAACAAAGAATTTTATATTATGTACCGATATCATAAAAAAGTTGACGGTCGGCGAAAAATAAATTTATCATATAAATTTATTATATAAATTTTACTCACGCGAGTTGAAGCAAAAAAGGATATATAAGTAGAAAGGATGGATGCACTTCCCTCGGAAACAGTGGCTGCAGCTGGCTGCTGGCGAATTCTCGAAGGATAGCTCCGCCCGTGATATTTTCGTGATGACGTAACAACAGTTTGGCTGCGAGTCCGTTCCAATTCGAAGTTGATCACGTCGGGGTCACCAAAATGAGCGCGCAGGTTACAAGTAAACGAAGACTGACTTAATGCTATTTATTTGATATAGATTACACATATGGATGTTGCACGTTCAATGCTTCGTTACGCACTGATGATCTTGACCGAGTCCCGCGTTCTCGCGTCGTAGCTAATAGTTTATATGAGGCGTTTACATTCTTGGTAATTGGCTCCAACATATCAATTACATATAAAACTAATTCCTAGCTTACTAAAATGTTGTTTGAAATATTTTCTAGAAGCTCTATTTATTCACAAATATTTTAACAGTAAAATTTTCTCGCGTTTCTGTTTGTTTACAACTTACTATGTATACGGAAAATCTAAATTATGATATTACAAAAATGTCATTGTTCTTATAATTTCTTGTGAGGGCTTAGATATACCATTTCATTTGAAAATATTTTATGTGGCGGTAACTATAAATTCTCGTAAATTCTACTTAAAGGGTTCTTTACTTGTACTTGTGACTAAGTATATTTACACTAGTTTTTGCTCGCAACTTCGTCCATTTTGATTATGGGATTGGTCTCAGAGAGAATTGTGTTAAAAAAATAAATATGGTCATCAACAGACAGCGAAGTCTATAGTCTCTGTTACGTGACTCATCATACGACAGTTATACCTTTATCCTGAAGTAACGAAGCGGAAATTTGGGATAAATTATATCCTTCGTCTCATTCCAATGTTTGAGCTACATTCTCGTAAAATTTAATAAAAATTCGTTGAGCAGTTTTTGAGTTAAACTACAACAAACAAGACCATCCATATATGGTGGCAAAATTTCGTTTTTACGATATTACTAGGATGGGCGACTTTAAGTGAAGGGAAAGCGTACAGTTTCACTTTCCTGTGATATCAAACATATTTTATATACTTTTATTTAACCGACTTCAAAAAGGAGGAGGTTTTTGAATGATGAATGATTTTACTATGAGTACTTATTTTACGTAGGGTTCAATGTAGCAAATTCTGACTGTTTAGCCAGCAAAGTTTATACAGGGTGACTGGTGATTATCAATCAATATTTGAGGAGAGTACTCGGTACATGATTCTCATACGAATTATGTAAAAAAAAATAGGTACTTAATTTTGGACCAAATTTCCGTATAAATAAATAAAGTGTGTACACGTTCCAAGTGTTCCAAGTGTGGACGCGTGCGGCGGCGTGCTGATACAACACCACGCCGCCACACGCGTATGTGTGAGTGTGTGTGTATACCTAATCTGTAGGGTGTTCATACGATGCGTAATTAATTACATAACTTTTGGTTAACTTTACTTAGAAGTTTATTAATATTTATTATTTATGTTATATTAATTTTTATTTTGTCATATATGATCTTCAAATATCACGTCCTCAAGTATCGATAGTAATTCACTAGTCACCCTGTATATTGAGAAAGAGAGAGAAGCCATTGCGCATCAGTGGGCTCTGATAGGCTGATGATGATTTATAAATTATACAAATATTACAGAGCTTTAACTATGGTATTAAAACAGTAATAATATTCAACAAATACTTATTTAGAAGATGGAGAATCTATTAGAATTCTTATAACTTTTATACTCGCTTTAAGCCGTAATTGTACGTAATACAGTTCCGTCACAGCCTGTTATTACCAACTACCATGACTATTCTAGATGCGTCATTACTTATAAGCTCAAGTCATTTCATCTTTGGTAAAGGAAATATTGTGCAATTCATTGTAATATAGCTTAATACAAATTCTTTCGTATTTAGTAATAGTTCATTTTTACATGTGTAGTAATCATTAAGTATTTACTGAAATTAAAAGATATCTTTAGCTTTTAATTTAGGTTTATAAATTGTGAATCGCGAGAAATACACAGCATGGTATTAGAAAAGGTATATCGCAAAGTCACGTAAGTATATAAAATGTATGAATCTTAAAGAAAAATATTGTTGAAATATTTATATCAATGTTTTCACGATTTACTGTCAATATTTTAAAAGGGCCCGGACCAGACCATTCATTTTGATAAATGCCTCACTAAATTAATCATTGTTCACAGAGGAATATACACTAATAACAGAAAGAACGACAAATCTTATTCAAAAAAGTTTTCGATTATTTGTCATCATTAAAAAAAATATTACGTCACCAACTTATATGGACGAAACGCTGAAGACGACAGGGTCAAGGTTAAAGTCCATAATTATAAAAAACTCTAGCTTAAAAAGGTCTATGTATGATTAGTACAAGTTTTCATCATCATAGTACACACGCAGTGTTTCCCGTTTCTTATTCAATTATACCTACCTTAGTAGGTAGGTACTGTAGATTGCGAAGATTTATAAATGAGAAACTGTTAACGCTCCGTAATCCGTATATACTATTAACTACATGTTATGTAGTGTGATCCTTTAAACATATTAAAACTAGAAAAGACTTCAAGATTTTTTTTTGTTTTTGAACACTTGTTTCCAATATTTTTAACGTTTAATTTAAAAGAGGCTGCAGTTTGTATTATGATTCTTTGTTTTGTCTTAAGATTATATTGGCACACGTCAAATGACTAAAAATTACTAAGAAACACCTGTTAAATGAAAAAAACAGCAACAATTCCGGTCAATCCGTTTGAGTTATCTCAGACATACATCGACTTCAAACTTAAATAACATCTCCCTTTTTGTGTCGTTAAAAGTGGGTCAAATACAAAAGCATTTATGATATATCTGACAAACGAGCAGACGGCCTAACTAGGTTTAGTTTGGGTTTAGCTAGGTTTAGTTAGCGTTGCCCATGCATATCCGCAACATCGTTTTGCGGATGCGTTGCCCCCCTTGATTGGAAAAAATGGAAAGGAAAGGTGCGACATGGGAAAGAGCAACCGGTGCTCTCACTAATCGGACGAAAAGCAGTCATTACAGAATTTGTAACTAAAGTGTGACAATACGTTCCCTGCCTTGAAAGTACCTACAAGTATGATCAATGTAATGAATTATAAAAGTAATCTTTCGTCAGGATTTAAAGGATTTGAGGAAAATTTAAAGAAAATTAAATAGATTTAAATCTAAATCTATCCACGGATAGATGTCGGGATCAATCGACACTATATAGTCTTAATTTAATCTTTTTTTCATTTTGAATAACTTCTGTAAAAAATATAATCGTCTTGGGCATTATTTATATCATTATTGATAAACAAACTCCTCAATCTTTCTTTATATAATATTATAAGCTATACATACATTTTCCTACCAATATTTATAAATGACTATGTCCTTTAATGTAGAAATGAATTTGTGGGTGAAAATGTAATTATTGTTTGAGAGAGTGTGTGTAGCCTTTGGGTATGTTTGGTTTTCCGTATTTTTACTTCAACTATACATGTACCTATTGAAGTAACTACAATTTAAAATATTCGTTCGTAATTCATTACAAATGACAACATTCACGTAGATGTACGAGTATGAAGACTTGTGGTAAGAATTCTTTTAATTACGACTTAGACTGTTAAGTTTTTCTGACTTGTAAGATCTAAGGTTCAAACAAAATTTAATTTTCAAGATCCATAAGCAATATCAATTATTAATCGAGTTAACTTTAGTTAAGGATACTTGTTTAACCACTTGTATTATCACGTCACTTGTGTTACTAACCACTGTACTCTTACTACAAGTTTGCAAAACACACCGTTTACGTAACGTTTACCGTTTTTCATTCATATTTCTACGCACGTGACAGTATTAACGTGGATATATAAACGAATTACTAATAGTATGTGGTGTGCTCAAAGTATGGTAAGGATAGTAATTCTGCTTACAAATTTAACATTGACCATTTGTATTTGATTTTCATAAAATTTTTAGTGACCATTTTATCATCCTTTATATGAGTACTACATAATGTTTGTTTGAGATTTTTATATGACATTAAAATGATGGGGTTGTTTCACAATAGTATATGGATGTAGTAAATATTTACACTTCTTCAAATAAATTTCCAATCAAAATCACTTACATTTTTATATATAACTCCTTAATGAAGATTTCATAATAAAACAAACATATATACATAAGTATTTATTATAACAAATTACAGAAAACTTAATATTCATAACTTAGACACAATTTTTATATTCCGCTTGCTTATAGTATTTTAAAGGGATCATTAAGGCACAAACACCATATTCTTATATGGTATTTAGAAACCATATGTTCTTAGAATGGGGTCTGCGGTGCTTTGTCACTGAAAGCCTTCACTTTGGGGATTCCATACACCCCATCCACAACTTGCTTGAAACTGGGGTACTTTTGCTCCAAATCCGGCATTTGCATCATTGTCTTCAAGTAATCAAAAATACCCGCAAAGATGAAATCTCCCCATGTCAGCTGGAAATAATATTAATTATTGACATAAGAACATTAAGTACAACTAAATAAATAAATATATTATATGATAATTGCCTTAATAAGAGTGAAGACACAATAGCTCAATAGTGTGACTGTAATTCAATATCTATTGAGTTGAAGATTCAAGTCCCGGTTATATCAAGGGATTTCTTTCATTTAATTATGAGCACACACTGTCTCTCATTATATGAAGTACATCACTTGATAATTCTATATTACGCTTTCACGCCTAAACCATAGAACTGATTTTAATGAAATTTGGCACAGACATAGAGTTGACCTTGAGAAAGAACATAGGATAGTTTTTATCCCAGACTTTTGAAAGGTTCTCTTGGAAACGCGAACCAAACTCGAGGCGGACGAAGTCGCGGGCGGAAAGCTAATATATAATAATGTAATATCTATATGTCTGTTATATCTACCTTCCCACAAGCCAAGTGTCCGTTGTTCTTCTTGATCATTTCATCCAGTTTCTCCAGGGCCATGGGGTAGAATGATTTCATGAGCTCATCATGTTTCTTCGCCTTCAAGTCAGAATCATCCTCGTAGTGTACGGACGCAGCCTCTATACACAAAATTATAAACATTTAATTTATATTTAAATGAAACTAATGTAATGATCTAGGATTTTCACGAGTATTCATTTGAATGAAACTAATATTTTCGGATTTTCTACGCGATATATTATATATTTTTAATTATACACTACATACTCCCGACGTTTCACATACTCGCGTAAAAAATCCAAAAATATTAATTTCGTTTAAATGAATAATATTTTCTGATTACTGTGTTTATTATTTTATGACTACATAATCTAGATTTTTGGGTTCGTTTATACCAAATGTGATCATGGTCAGACAAGATTAAATTCATTCCTATATTTTGAGAACCGTTTGAAAATGCGACTTTTTTTTCTTATTTTATAATTTATAATATTCATTAAGTAATGATAACAGAATATTTATTTGCAGTGTTTTACATGTTTTTCATAACGTTCCGAATTAGTCACGATAAGCAACAGGTTGCGACGTCTACCGTCTTTATTATGGAACTATGTACATTCAATTTCAGGATAATTTATATCCTATGTCCTATTCTGATATGCAAGCTACATTATTGTAAAACCTCATCAAAATCCGTTAAGTAGTTTTTGCTTCATAGAGTAACATACATTGCCACAAAACACATGTATAATACCAGTAGGATGTTTTTTTATTTTTAAATAATGATGAACTTTTTATTAAATTTTTTCTTCTTTTTCCATCGAATAGAATCAGATATCTTATGTCCATCTCCTGGTTCTAAACTATTTCTCCACCAATATTCACCCATATTCCTAAATCCGTTCTTGAGTTATAAATATTGTAACTAACACGACTTTTTTTTATATATCGTCGGTGATAGTGCAAATCCGCGTAACTAGCATTGGATAATTCCGCGTATCTACATTGGAAGCAGATTATAAGAGAGAATAAGCTGAAATATTTTCTATATTAACGACTTTTAAGCAATATTTTTCCACAATTAGTAATTATTTAGTGTGTAATTTATATATATACTCACTCGCTCTGATGTCATTGATAAACTCAACGTTTTGGTCGATCACGAAGTCTTGTTCAGCATCATCACCAGCTAAACCGTACTTTCTTCCAAGAAGTCGAGCTATGGGAATACTCTGGCAGTACTTCTTCCCATCAATGTCTAAGACAGGCATTTGACCGAATGGCATCGCTGGAAATAATTGTATTGTTAATATTTTGGTTCACGGCATCTGTTCATATAATAAGCCACTTCTCAGTTTATATTTTCCACAAGAACCATACTTGTAAATTCTTTTAACACGACTCTCTTGTAATAATAATTATTTTAAACATTACAGTAATGTCAAAATAATAGTGTAATTAAAGTTATATAGAAAATATAAAGTGAAAAATTCTTGTATATTGGCTGGATTCGAACCCGCGATCTCTTGAATGTAGAATACCTGTTGCTTTAGAAAATTAACTATTGTAATGTAATTTAAAACAATAATGAATTAATCTATCTAAAAAGACTTAAAAATATAAAGAAAACATTTAAATGAAACTAATATTTTTCGGATGTACTTCGCGACTTTGTTTTTGATAAAAAACTAAACATTTCGTCTGCCCGTGATCACGGTTGCTGTAAAGTAACCGAAACGGCGGGAGTATGTAGTTTATAGTCAAAAATAAAAATCGCGTAGTATATTCGAAAATATTAATTTAATTTAAATGAATAAGACTCGAAAATCTTAGATCTCATTATAAAGAAAACTTATAGGCAAAAACAAATTAAAGCTCAAATGATGAAAATACTTTTGCGTTTCAACAAAACTATGTACAAATTAAATGAAATTGCCATTTTCTTGACTACCGATCTTTATATCACCGGATGTAGGAATTGTAATTTAATAATTTATATATATAATAAAAGGATAATATATCCTGTATTAACATATAATATATTAAAACTAATGAGCAATAATTATTATAACGCTTATTTAATACTGACCTTAGTAATTATAATAATTACATTCATATAAGTTTTAAATGAAAAAAAAAGTCAGTAATTAAAAAAGAAGGTATGGGGAGTGGAAAACATACTTAATTATTAAAAGTAATTAATAATTATTGATTTTATTCTATATGAAAATCTATATCTGATGCGACCTTCAACTATTCTAACCTTTATGTGAGTTATCGGTTTTTATTAGCTAGACAATGGTCAAATAATTTTGGCAATTACAAATCATAATATTATTAAATAAAAAAAAACTAATATCTATATACACTTTTATTTTATATATACTATTTACAAAACTCATTATTTAATTTGGCATTATCAAGTCTGACCATCGCCTGTGTTAGATCGATGCTAATTAAAAATCAATACACGTCAATTTGTAATTTTTTTTTTGCATATTTTGTGAATGTTTTTGTACGTTAAAAATTTCTTAATAAATATCGTTTATCATGCATATGCAGACGGATTAAAAAAGACCACTACGGTATTCAATAAAACCATGTTTGATTAGGTACATCTTATCGAAAATTAATCAAAGCAATAGATTACGCGTTTCATAGTTTTTTGTTCAAGGTCAATACTTGTCGGCCATTTGAAATGAATTATACAAAATGAAAAAACTACGTACAATATAATATTACGTACTAGTTTAAAAATATGTATACTTATTAGTAATATTTATGACAAAGCATAATCTTTCAATATATTAGAGGTGTTTTTGGCGGCAATTTTGACATACATCATATATAAGAAATATATATGTTTAAAATAAAACGGTTGGTAGAAAAAATGTAATATTCTCAGCTAAATAAGTCCAACATCCTGTCTAGATGACCTTCATACCTACAATGGATTTAATGACTTTGTTAGCTATGTTTGGAAAATTTCAACGAACGTTGATATTAGAACTAGCTTTCCGCCCGCAACTTCGCCCGCGTGGAGTTCGGTTATATCGCGTTTCCAAGAGAACCTTTCAAAAGTTTGGGATAAAAACTATCCTATGTTCTTTCTCAAGGTCCATTCTATCTCTGTACCAAATTTAATTAAAATCAGTTCAGTGGTTTAGGCGTGAAAGCGTAACAGACAGACAGACAGAGATACTTTCGCATTTATAATATTAGTATGGATAAAACTTATTCAAGTGAAGTATTGAATAAATGTATCATAGTTTTCATTGTATAGAAGTAACATGAAAATTAATATTGCAGACTGTTCTAGAAGTTTCTATTTGCTGACCAGTCCAATAAAGCTGTTAAAACAATATTTTTTCTTTATCTTGTGGGCTCGTAAGGAAGCCGACATTCGGTTTATCAGTGTTTGAATAGCTGATAAAAAAATAATCAAATAGTGTAACATATTCAACAAAACTGTTGCTATGTAGAAATTAGCGTAATTAAAAAGACAAAAATATAATGAAGGTATAAAAAAATAATTAATTAACTGATCCTAGTTATCCAAATAAAAAAAAACACAAGTCTTGGACATTAATAGCATATAAATAAGAAATATTTTCACGTATTCTAAAGTAAACTAAAAATATTACAAAAAATGTTGATACGTACATGATTTCACGGAGGGCCATTTTTCCATAGGGACGCGTTCATCCTTGAACTCTTGACCGCCGTAAGCTAATAATAATCTTATGGCCTCGCCGAGCGCCTTCACGGGGAAATAGTACAAAACCACCGGCATTTTAGATTACTATAACAATAACAAATATATTAAGTTATACACAAGAATAATAATTATATGTACTACGTATTTTTATAATAAAATTCAAATGGATAATATTTATGGTATCTATAAAATTCAAATTTGTCAGTAGCATTCGTAACAAAAATAACAAAATTTCAAAACATATATTTAATGTAAAACTTAAATAAAACAGACATATTAAAACATAATTATTAATATCGAAATGCTTCATGTTTGGGAAGCTTGCTATGATTTTACTAATAGATAAAGAAACTTCCTGAAGCTTGCGTATCGCCCAAATGAATTTTTTTGACCGGTGCCATTACTATATTTCTATAACAAGTTTTAATGTGCTCACTTTTTGCCTCACGGAAACTTTAAAACAATATAATATTGTTTAACTTTTGAAATGAATAACTTACGTTTATTTTAGTAATCGTAATAACTAGCAAGCAGACGACAGTTCACCGGGAAATTAATCGTCAACTGACAAAGCTTCTGATCAGGTTAGCCGTTAGTCATGTAGGTATCTAATACCTATTACTGAACACGGAAATACGAAGGCGGGAGGGAGAGGGAAGTATGCACAGACTAAAAAGATAATCTTCTAATATTATGTCAAAACTGACATTTCTGTTTTTTTAATTCGTTGTAAGTATAATAATATTATTTAAAATGTAAGACTATTCATGTAAGGATTATTAAAATAATTCATATTAATTTAAAAAATTTGTTTCATTTTATAAGTATTCCTTTTTTATAGGGTCGGAGTTTTTTTTTATCGAGATAACAACAAATTTAATATTGACAACTGACTGATATATTATTGTTGTTACAATTAGGCGGTATAGTCGCTATCATAGAGTTTTATTAAAAACGATAGTTTGAAATTTCTCATGCATTATTGCTTAAAGTCTTAAACTTTCAAGCTCGTAACTTTTTACTATGAGTAGTATAGGTACTTTTATCAACCATAGTTTATCTTTTTATTGTGCTTATTTGTGAAGTTTTAGGTAATTTTGGATACTGTTAACAAACAATTAAAATGACTCAAAGGTCCCAGAATGTATCAGTATCGTGCTCCAAAGAAGCAGTGTATGGATGTGTAAGATATATACTTTGCCGCGAAGGTAGCAAAATACCGATAAAGAGGTCTGATATTATAAATCACATCAGCGAAACCTGCAAAGTTACAAAACAAAATGCTAGTCATGTGTTTATTGCCGCTCAAAACGAGTTGAAAAGGGTGAGCGGACAAATTCTCTAGGAATATAAATAATTTTTATAACAAATCTTGATAATCCTATTTCTAATATATTTATCAGGTGTATGGTTATAAAGTTGTGGAATTAAAGTTGAAAGATGCCATACAATGTATAGTAGTCCTAGATAAGCCGGAAAAATCTTTACTGTCTTCATCTACAAATCCTTACCATCGGAGACTGTTGATTGTGGTTCTAACACACATTTTTATGTCAAGTGGACCTGTCGCTGAAGGTATGTTTATGATTAAAATTTTAACAATTAAATTAATATAAGCAATTATTATAAATAAAATAGGTATGTGCCATAATTTTAAATTAATAAATAAGCATAATATTTAATAGACTAATTTTCAGCTTTATTGATGTTTTCTACTATTAATTTTAAGCAATATAATAATAAGTGCCATAGTTTCTTTCAAATCTTCCAAAAATATTATATATATATTATATAGGGTGACTGGTGAATTACTATCAATATTTAAGGAGCATACTCGGTACATGATTCTCATTCGAATTATGTAAAAAAAATAGGTACTTAATTTTTGACCAAATTTCCGTATAAATAAATAGTGTGGACACGTTCTAAGTGTTCCAAGTATGGACGCGTGCGGTGGTGTGCTGATACAACACCACGCCGCCGCACGCGTGTGTGTGTGTATACCTAATCTGTAGGGTGTTCATACGATGCGTAATTAATTACATAACTTTTGGTTAACTTTACTTAGAAGTTTATTAATATTTATGTTATATTAATTTTTATTTTGTCATATATGATCGTCAAATATCACATCCTCAAGTATCGATAGTAATTCACCAGTCACCCTGTATATATAATATTTCTGATAATTTCAATGTCTAATAACCTTAAACAGCACTGATTAATTATTGATTGATAGTTAGACTAAAGTGCATTAATATCTGCAACAATTATAATGATAGTAATTACTACAACATAATATTATCTGCTAATTTTTATTAAAATATTTATAAGAAATGTACTTAAATTCCATAGAAAATATAATCAGGTTTAAATCCCTACTAATATTATAAATGAAAAAGTAACTCTGTCTGTCTGTCTGTTACTCTTTCACGCCTAAACCACTGAACTGATTTTAATGAAATTTGGTACAGAGATAGAGTTGACCTTGAGAAAGAACAGGATAGTTTTTATCCCATTTATTTTGAAAGATTCTCTTGAAAACGCGATATAACCAAATTCCACGCGGGCGAAGCTGCGGGCGAAAGCTAGTATGTTACATTTACTTTAAGTTGTACCAACTTAACTTCAAAATATGAACTATACATATATAACTTATTTGTTTTATTAGATCCTAAATAGTTGTTTTTGATGATATATTGATTCTTAATAAATTACTGTACTATACTACTACTGTAAACTATGTAAAAAATAACTTGATAATCACTAAAATACAATTTATGATCTGTTAAACTTCTATTTTTACATATTTGCCGTCTTCCGAATTGAACTTCAAAGATGATATGTGGAAATTCTTAGCAGAAGCTTATGTACTAGTCGAGAATGACCACAAACAGAGGAAAATTGTAACAAATGTGTTCACAAAGCAACTATATTTGACACATTACAAGGTAATTTAATGGGTATTTTCTAATTATATGTACTTACCTGTTTTGGTAAAATTTTGTAAGATATTGTAGATAATTGTTTTATTTTTTATAGGTATTTGATACAGTCAATCTGGGTAACTTTGACAGATAAGGGTGATATTTTATACTATATTTTAAAAAATTAAACCTATAACTCGGGTGTTTTTATTTTATCAGTGCTCTCGTATTACTTTCCGTCTCTAGACATCCACAGAAAGTTTATAAAACATACCAATATAGTATAAAATCTTAATTTTGTGTGTGTCAAAGTTACCCTCCTAAGATGGGTAACTTTGACACACACAGAGCCAAGCATAAAAATGTAGTAATAAGTATTATTTTTATCAATCTGGGTAACATTGGGGTATATATTTATTAACTAATGGATGCATGTGACACAATAAAACGACCATTTTGCAATTTTGTCTTATATTAAAAAAAAATATGAAGAATTAGTCTACAACATTTGGCAATGTTACACACATTGTTTAACACCATCAAAAACGCTTAAAAAACTCTTTTAATTTAACATTTTTATTCAAATTATAAAGAAAACAAGCAAAAATAATTTTAACAAACAAACATTTTGTAAAATCTTGAGCATGACTTGCCTATTCTCCCCTTTCCATATAGAGCAAATCGTCAATAATACTTGTATAGAGCCCAGGCTGCTTTATACTGATTTTACTGTTATCTACTGGAGATACAACATCATCTTATCTAATTTTAATAATTTCTCTTTTATGTGGCCATTTCCAACCACCTTGTGTTGATCTACTCATTACAACAAGTGTATAATATGGGAATGTGTAACTTGTCACTTTTCCTGGAAACAGTGTGCCTTCTGTTTTAAATATAACTGTTGTGCTAGGTGAGAACTCAATATATTTTGATGTGTATGTTGCAAAACTCCATCTTTAACAACAAATTCTTCAATCACCTCTTCTACCACCTCTTCCGCCACCATTTTAGTTTCTATGTAAGGGTAACTTTGAAACTGTCAAAGTTACCCAGTTACTGTTCAATATACGTATTTTCATATTTATGCATGAAATTTCAAAATAAGATTTCATTATATGCAATTTTTTCATCAAAATGCGGTAGTACACTCACAAATGGCTCTGTATAACATCTCACTTACCTTATCAACAACCAAAATCACAAAATATTCAAAAAGTTATTCACCCTAAAGTAAACTTAAATTCGCGCGATATATTCAGACACGAAGTTATGACGTTTTTTTCATTCACAACTTACTTTTTTTTAAAGTGCATTTAGGAAGCTTATTTAAAATCGCAAATCTAAAATAAACATACATGAATAATGTTGGTTTCATGCGAAAAAATAATCGAAACTAGTTCATGGTCCCACTGTCAAAGTTACCCGATGAATCAAAGTTACCCAGATTGACTGTAATTGTTTTATTTTTTATAGGAAGGCGAAGGTGAATTAGCAAGATTTGTTTTTGATTGGGGACCCAGAGCTCATATAGAAGTACCAAAAATGTTTCTACTCAATAAAGTTGCCAATGTATGTTTTTATTATTGTAACTACTAATTTTTATAACTATATATTTAGTGGTCATTTTAACATTTATAAGTCTATATAGTTGAAATTCTACTAATATTATAATTGCGAAAGTTTGTGAGTGTGTGTGTATGTTTGTTACTTCTTCACGCTCTAACGGCTGAACCGATTTGGATAAAATTTTGTATACAGAAAGCTAACGTCCAGGAATAACACATAGGCTACTTTACATCAGGGAAATACGTAGGTAACACCGCGGGGCGCAGTTAGTAGTTTAATATATTAGGTACAGTTATGCTATGTAGTTAATTATTATTGCTATCTGTAACTAAGTTGTTATTTTTATAACAATGTCTTAATCAACCAGCTTTGGTTCAGAATAACAAAATATTTGTCTTGTAAATTTGAAATTAGTATCACATTAAATAATATTATTTTTGGTTTGATTAAAAATTATTCATATATATATATATATATATTTAAAATATTATTTTGTGTTTATGATTATCATATATTAAAGTTTTTTTATTACTATTTCAGGCTCTGGAAAAAGATCCACAGCATTGGTCTGAACAATATAAAATAGCGTCCACTGATAACAGTAATCAAGAAAGAGATTAAATACTTGTATTTTTATTCTTGCAACAGAAAATAAACCTTTTTATATTTATAATGAACTACTTACCCTATTGTATAGGAGATAAAAAGATTACTGATTACAGATGTATAGAAGATTGTTGCTCTTAATTTCTTACCACGTACTCAGAACCAAAATTGAAACATATAGCTGATGCCCGCGGCTTTGCCCACATATATTCATAATAAAATACGTCCATAATATGATGTGTTATACATTATCTTCTTTATTAGGTTTCATTAGTTTTTCCAGAATGCCTTTATTATATCTTGACTTTGATAATAAAATTACCTCATGGTTATATTACATATGTTGATTAAATACAAATAAATTATTGAAGGAGTCTGCAATTGTTATATTTTTATCGAAGTGAAAGTCGCATGAGAACATGCGACTTTCAAACAGGTTGCGTTGAACGTTTAACGCTACTGGTGGGAGGATTAAAAAGAGAGTGAGTTGGGCTGCGTTGGTGCTCGAACACATTTGGACAATCAGTTGAGAGTTGTAAATAATGTTATAAAGTTTGTCTTAAAGAAATTCCTTAAAAATCAATCTCTAACCCTTCCTGTTTTCATTCCAACATTACGATGTTTTACTTCTTTTACGGAAGGACTCTACGTACAATTATTTAGTAATATAAGACTTGCAAACATCTAAAGAAGACGTGATGCCTATAAATGACCCGATCTTGAAGTAATACACTTCAGTAGCGTGACGAGACATTATCTACAGTCTACAGTTGTGAATGTGGTAGTGATAATCACTACTGCGAATATTATGTACTGTTAGTAATAATTATTTATAATGATTTAAATTGTTGTCTACTTCATAATTCTAAGCTTAACGATATTTATAGTCTAATAATGTTAGGAAAGCGCCATCTATACAGGGTGACTGGTGAATTACTATCGATATTTGAGGACGTGGTAGTTGACGATCATATATGACAAAATAAAAATTAATATAACATAAATATTAATAAACTTCTAAGTAAAGTTAACCAAAAGTTATGTAATTAATTACGCATCGTGTGAACACCCTACAGATTAGGTATACACACACACACTCATACATACGCGGCGGGGCGTGGTTTTGTATCAGCACGCCGCCGCACGCGTCCACACTTGGAACACTTGGAACGTGTCAACACTTTATTTATTTATACGGAAATTATGTCAAAAATTAAGTACCTATTTTTTTTACATAATTCGAATGAGAATCATGTACCGAGTATTCTCCTTAAATGTTGATAGTAATTCACCAGTCACCCTGTATTTTCGTTGTTATAGTGTAAATTAATGTTGATAATAATATATCTATACAGTAATTTAAATTTGCAATGACAACAATTGTTTTTACAATTTATAATTAGAGCCATAGCATGTTTTTCATAATGTTAAGTGTTCTTATTATTTAATGGAAATTTAATGGAAATGAGTGGAACTAGCGCCCTCTGTATGATATTATAACTTACCCTCACCTAAATATGTATGTTAAATTGACTATTATAAATAGGATACAAGTGTTAGATTCTATTACGATGTGCGGAGTAATAAACATCTAAGCTGAACTACTGCCTAAATTATGTCTAACACAACATATTTAGTTGCGGATTAGTAAAACTCCTGCGTTTACTGCAATACGCTCAGACATACAGCGATTAAAAATTACTAGATTGAAATCCAGGTAAAAATAAATCAATGAATACGAAGGGCGAAAACTTCACCGTTACTACCACAACATTCCTAGAGTAATTCTTCATACATTGTATCAAGACAAGTTTATGAGCGAAAAATTGGAGATGGTCCATGTATGTTACGACAAAACAAAATTATGGTAAAAGCGTTGAAAGTAAGAGAATATAATGTTACGCTTATTTCATAATCTTTATATTGTAAAGTAAACTACATCGTGAGCATAGCTTGTCCTTGATTCGAAGATGATAAAATTTTGAAAAGGGCTTTTCTTATCATATAAAGATTAACATGCTTTTAATACTGTGGTGACTTCGAGCTTAATTATTTGATGAAATATTATTCATTAAAAACAGTGAAGGAAAGTGAAACAGGTTTCGTTCACTTTATTGTTTATTAATCTGTACCCTTAGTCCTTAGCACACATTTGTTTGTCTACCACACTACATTCGATGCGTTTCCATTATGTCATTTATAAACGTTCGCAAATGATATTATCAATCTAGATTCGTGAACAACAAGCTGGAACTCCATATGAGTGTAAGAGCCATTCAGAATCAATTTGGAGGCCGCCAAGGCAGCTAATTCATATATTTAAAAGACATTTCAATTATGTTTTTATTGTAAGTTTGTAACGTGAATTACTCAATAATATTTTTTCATTACAAAGTTGTTTGTTTTTTTGTTATTATCTTTCACCTATATTTTTAATTCGTAATTTAAGTTTAATGGCGCGTTTCTAAGTCCAATGTTGTATAATATTAAATATTATACGAAATACAATATTAAGTAGTAAATTTTAGTGCCGTTATATTTTTTGGGATAAGTAATGTGTGTTATTAAATATATGCTTGTGGCTATTGAAGAAAGAAAATTTTATTCTGATCATGTTTAAGTATCAAAAAAAAATTAACTCATAAATTTAAATTTATAAAAATATTTTAATATACCTATGTATATGACGTATGAACATATTTACAGGTTACATTGTTAAGCCTTCTTTTAGGTTATTTATAATCTGTACTGGATATTTTTATATAATCTGTGCTGTCTGTCAAGAGATCAAAATTTTCAATTTTGTTTTCAAGTCCAGGTTGTTCCGTGCGGTGCAACGGACGGCTGGAGTTATTTTATAATACGTATATTTTTTAAATAATTTTTGTATAATATATTAAATTAGTGTTTTTCGATCATGGCTCAACAGGTTGCAGTGCCGCCCAAGGAGCGATACATTCCTAATGGCCTTAAATTTGCCTTTGGTGGACTAGCCGGGTAAATGTATTTCTTTTACCTTGTACTTTAACTACTTTCAATGTCATTAATGTTAGTTGTTCCAAACATTAGAATTTTCGCTATAAATGAATTTTTGAATTAACCTTGTGATAACGGATTAAAATTAATAAGCCGGAATATTTTCCTTTATTTTCTTATCCGTAAAAAAAGGAAAATATTTTAAAAATATGATCATTTATAATAACTTCGATATTTTAAGTGGGACCTATTTATTTCTGTAGTTATTAGATCCCTTGCACCTACATGTTAATTATTATCATTGGCGACCTCGATTTAATAGAATAACAATATGTTGTGATTATGTAATCGATCAAACAAGTCTTTCGAGTTTATTTTTAAGAATAATTCATCCAAAGTTTATTGAGAAGTTTGGCTTGATAAACACACTTAAATTATTTTTTTTCAATCTATATATATTGTGGATGATAGTTATGTTATTTCTTTTAACTTCACTCACACTCTTCATCTAATTATTACTTATAAAGTTTATAATATATATTGCCTGATAATGAAAACTTGCAAGTACTTGTGCACAAAAAAACTGCACTTCTGAATTTAAACAATACACATAGCTTAAAAGAAGTAAACACCATCAACAAACAGTGAATGATAGTAATTAAATAGGAAACCTAATACATTAATAATATTAAATTGTTTTTAGAATGGCCGCTACATGTGTTGTGCAACCGTTAGACTTGATAAAGACTCGAATGCAGTTGAGTGGAGGTGGCAAGACATCTTTTGCTGTGGCCGGTGAGATTGTTGCGAGGGAGGGCTTCTTTTCCCTCTATACGGGGCTCTCGGCAGGGCTTCTGAGACAGGCGACATATACGACCACACGTTTGGGGATATACAACTGGTTGTTCGATGCATACAAGGAGTAAGTCAAGTATTTATTATTAAAAAAATAACATTAATGTTGGCCAAGTACAATACAGTCTCTTTCCCAAAGAGGATTGATGTCAGGCAGGCGGCCGGTAGTAAAAACAATCACCCAAAACTATTCACAACATGTAAGGCAGACCCTGGCTAAAGCTGGGAAATTGCCAGGTAGAAGAAGATTGGCCAAGTACAGAGAAATCCTACCTATAGCCACGCAATCCATTTAAATTACTTTCAAGTTTTGCATTAAATGTCTTGGGAAATTATTAATAATGTAGTTTTGAATAATGTAAACTATACACTATTAGTTTAACTCATAGTAAGGATAAGTGGAAACTCATAGTAAGGATACAGTAGCTTAAAAAAAACTTCAAGGTCACTGACCTCTGAAAATTAATTTTGATTATATATATATATAGAGAATCGTGGGTATATAATCATCATTTATTCCGCTCCTGATATGATAATGAGATAAATAGATAAACTAAATATATGAGTGCCAATTTAGTTAAAATGGCATGTCTTTAAAAATACATATATGTATATAACTTTTCATTAAGTTTTGTTATGTAAAAAATCATGTCTGCTCATGATAACCCTTTATTTTCGTGGGTTAATAATAACATCAACATGAGTATGTAATATAATTTATCTGTTTATTTAAAGTATGAAAAATGAAACACAAGTCAGTATCAAAACTAAAGTTACAATTTCCAGAATCCCATATAACATATACATATATTTATATATGCAATACTCATAACCGTCTGTTTGTAGTTTACCCTACACTTATAGTAAGGATATTGTATAATGTTATTGAAACAAAATATTGAATTAATGTTCCCATTATAAGACAATAGCACTGTCTTAACTATAAACATTATGATTAATTATTTAGTTTGGAAGTTCTTATTCTCAAATATATTTTAAAATATAGCTAGAATAAGTTTTTAGTAGTCAGTGGTGGCCTAGTGGTTAAAAGGCCCGCCTCTCATGCATGACGGCGCGGATTCGATCCTGGCCCGAGCAAGTACCAATGTGATTTTTCGTAGTCATATGTACTTTCTAAGAGTATTTATACATCACTGATTAATGCATTCCCAAAGAGGGTTGATGTCAGGCAAGAGACCGGTCGTAAAAAAAATTAGAAAAAACTATTCAGAACATGTAAGGCAGACCCTGGCTAAATCTGGGAGATTGCCAGGAAGAATAAGAAGAAGCTAGAATAAGTTTCTGTTCGCTAAACTATATAAGAATAGTTTCATAATGACTGTTTTAATACTGCAGTTTCACATGTGATGTAATTGATGCGGCTTATAATGTTTGTTCAACATTGTGTTATCTGATAAGCCTACATTTAAATTATAAGCTCGTACAACTATATTTATTTATATGTACATCATGCGGTAAAAATTAACTTTCTTATATAACTAAATACATGAATGAAATTATATTGTTACTCACACAATTTCATTTGTATTTTTTCTTCTTCTTAAATAAACTATTTTTAACCTAATAGTTTTTTTTTAAATGTATATAAGCCCTTATATGTTGAAATATGTTTTCCTTATGCCCTTTTACAGTTAAAACTAAATCTTTCCACCAAGAAATACGCATTTTTTAATGGATGTTGTAGAATACAGTATTATGAAGTGTTTAAAGCAAAAAATGCAACTAAATTGCTACATAGGACCTATATCATATACCTATACATATGTTATTTTATCAAAATCTGTTTAGACTTTAGTTGTTAGGTCAGAATTCATTGTATATTTTATTTTTTAGACGCAATGAAGGAGCAGCCCCAGGTTTTGGTGTGAAGACATTGCTAGGAGTCGCCGCGGGATCTGTTGGCGCGTTCGTCGGTACACCTGCTGAGGTGAGTGATCCATTCAATCATTCATTCGCTCACTCATTTTATCATTCATTAGCTCACTCGTTCAATCAATCATTTTATCCAGGTATGAACATTCTAGTGTACTTTTTCTATTAATAAGATCAATAGATGGGTTTCAGTATAAAATAACACATATTTCTTAATCCTATGCCAGTTTTCAATAGATTCTAGTTTTTTTATTTCTAGTTTGAGTGTATGACAGTGTACACTGCAACTAATTTATATATAATATATTTCCAGGTGGCACTAATAAGAATGACAGCTGATGGCAGATTGCCCAAAGAGCAGCGGAGGAATTACAAGAATGTACTGGATGCACTCATGAGGTCACTTATTATACACACACACACACACATATATATACACATACATAACAACAAAGTAGGGCATTGATATAATAATGAACATTATGAATTAAGACCTAACCGTTATCAAATGTTTGTGACCTTCATATATGTCAAAAGTTCTCATATATATTATAATTCTAAAAATAATTCAAAATTTCAGGTTATAATAAAGATTTCGGCTTTCGTAATAATCGTTTGATTTTTATGTGTGCAGGATAGTACGTGAGGAAGGTCTGCTCAAACTATGGCGAGGAGCCTCGCCTACTGTTTCAAGAGCTATGGTGGTTAATGCGGCTCAGCTTAGCACATACTCACAGGTACATATGTATATACTTGGAAACAAAATCCCAATTAACCTATTTAAAAAATAATATTCGATGCAACTTCACGATTAATTTAGTGATATCAAAAAATACTTACATTTTTAAATTAATAATTTTCAACGATCCCTCTTATTATAAATGAAAAAGTAACTCTGTCTGTCTGTTAAGCTTTCACGCCTAAACTACTGAACTGATTTTAATGAAATTTGGTACAGATATAGAGTTGACCTCGAGAAAAAGAACATAGGATAGTTTTTATTCCAAACTTTTGAGGGGTTCTCTTGGAAACGCGATATAACCGAACTCCATATAAAGTTATCGTGAAATGAAATGTTAGTATCTATTAATCTATTACATAAACGCGGATTACGAAAGAAAAAGAATCTTGATTTCCTCTGACAACTGCTTGTATGTCGTTCACTCCTCTCTAATATTCCTACAATATGTGAGCATTGTCGGAATATAATAATTGAAAATACTACAACCACAATGAACCCACAAAACAATGGATCATCAAATAACAATCATAATGAAAAATAGAATATAACTCCATTTTTATATGCAAAAATATAAATTTTACTATACATATCGTCGGGGATATTGCGATTCCACGTAACTAGCATTGGATAATTCCGCGTATATACATTGAAAGCAGATTATAAGAAAGTTTAGTTTGAAATATTTTTTATATTAACGACTTTTAAGGTAATTTTTTTACAATTACTCATAAATTTAACATTACATAATTACTAATTGTAAAAATAATAATAATAATATGATAGTCTGCTTCTAATTTAGATACACGAAATTATCAAATGCTAGATACGACGATATATACTGTTATCCCTTCTACCTGGCAATTTCCCAGCTATAGCCAGGGTCTGCCTTACTAGTTGAATAGTTTTGGCTAATTGTTTTTACGACCGGCCGCCTGCCTGATATCAACCCTCTTTGGGAATGCATTAATCAGTGATGTCTAAATAGTCTTAGAAAGTACATATGACTCGGAAAAATCACATTGGTACTTGCCAGGGCTAGGATCGAACCCGCGCCCTCATGTATGAGAGGTGGACCTTTTAACCACTAGGCCACCACTGACTTGACGATATATAATGTTATTTAAGCTGTATGTATGTATGTTCCAGGCTCGCGAGGTGTTCGTGGGTCGCGTGCCTGACGGCGTGGTGCTTCACTTCTGCGCGTCCATGGTGTCGGGGCTCGTCACCACCATCGCCTCCATGCCCGTCGACATCATTAAGACACGGTACGGAACACACACACATTTATATAGAGACTGTATAATACCTGCTTGTTTTAGAGGAATGTCTTACCCACCATCAAGCTTTGGAGTTAGCATTGCCTCTTGTTAATTTAATGCCTCTTGTTAAAATAAATCTTGTTAATTTCTAATGAAATAATAAATAAAATCGAATGCCAAATCAGTCTTAGATAGGTATATAGGTATACTTTATTATTAATCAGTCAAATAGTCATCAGGCAAAATTCTAGATACTTAAACATTTATCGACATATTTGAATTTTTCTTAATTAATAAGAAAGGCACAAAAAAAAATCAATAACTTCTCTTTAAGTTAAAATATAAAACAAAAAAAAAATTTGTCTTTGAGTTACACAATAAAAATAATTATTAATATTTTTGGTTTGTCGAAACCTGCTTTAAGAGCTGTTTCTTTCAAAATGTAGTTGTTAAAATCCTTATATGTCAAATGTTTTAAATTCTATTTGCTTGTTTTGCGAAATGTAAAAAGCCGGATAAGCCGGACACTGTATATTTTTGCTGGACATGCAATTAAAAAGCCTAACTATGTCCGGCTTTATCTGGACGCCTTGCAACGCTATTTAGAGTAGTGTCCGCTACACTACTTGATGATCTAAATTCATATCGAAGACAGAAACTTAATCCCTACTAATATTATAAAAGCGAAAGTAACTCTGTCTGTCTGTTACGCTTTCACGCCTAAACCACTGAACAGATTTAAATGAACTTTGGTACAGAGATGGAATTGACCTTGAGAAAGAACATAGCCCATAGGATAGTTTTTATCCCAGTCTTTTGAAAGGTTCTCTTGGAAACGCGATATAATCGAACTCCACGCGGGCGAAGCTGCGGGCGGAAAGCTAGTCTTCAATATAATGAAATAATATACTAAAACGGATTCAACTTTATTTCTACAGTTGATACTGTTTACTTTGTAATATTTAAAATTTTAACATCATTGTTTCCAATAATATGAATAGTACATGTGTATATATAAATTATAGAGATAATCCTGCATTTACTAAAAATAAAGAAATGCAAAGCAAAATTAAGAAACATATCCATATGTAACAGATGAAATGTTAAATAATAGACATATAGGTATATTATTATTTTTATTTTCCAGTATCCAAAACGCAGCCAAGGGTGAATCCCAACTAGCCGTAGTGACCAATCTACTAAGGAATGAGGGTGTTTTCTCACTGTGGAAAGGATTCCTTCCATACTACGCTAGGCTCGGGCCTCATACAGTGCTCACATTCATATTCCTTGAACAACTGAACGCTGCTTACTTCAAATATACTTAGAAATAACATCTCTTCGACCTCCAAACTGAATTATGTCTTCAATATTAATTAAGAAGTATGTGATAATATAAAAATGTAAGGAAAATCTTGTAACATAATGAACAGCGCGAATTAAAATTCAACTAGCCGGTTAAAAAGGTTAAATAGCATATTTAACTGCTAAAATTGTATCCCGTTTGTCATATATATATGTTATTGAAAATGAATCCAAATTTTCTTCTATATCTAATATGGAATGTCATAGACAATTTTTGTTTATAAGTAATATATCATTCGATGTATTTTTTTTATATATACATATATGTTTAAGTTTGAACATACAAAAATTTGGTTAAATAATTTAATTATTTTTTTGTTATGAGAAAATTATATTGATTTATATAAGTCTTTGTATAGAATAAGTTTTATTTTAATGAGTCTATCCATATAAAATGATCTTGTCTTCTATAATATTGTGTTCATATTTTTTTATTTTAGTTATATCTCAAAGATTTCAGCGCTTTTCAAAGCTTTTTGTATTATTTTGTTCATTCTCAATAGTGAGTGCCAAATTTTGTTCATTTGTTTGAGCGAAGTATTTTTTGGGCTTAAAATATTGTTCAGTGTGTAAGCAAATAGTGACACAGGCGTTGAATTTTTTCAGTGACTCATTATAAACGCACAATGAATAACATAAGCGCGTTAGTTGGACTTGCATTTTAGTTTTTTTTATATATTTTGTTGTAAAGCTGTTTTTTTTTAGTGACAGAATGTATATTGTTGTTTAGTGCGGAACCGATATAAAATGCTATTTATATTTTTATAGAAACAGTTTACGTGACTAACTTAGATTAAGTTATTTGTTAATAAAATCATTGTTGAAATTTTTGTATTTTTTTTGTTACTATCTTGCCTATAAAACCTTCATGGATTTAATAAAGGTTAATAAAATCTATTTATAATCTGGACCACAGTGAGATTGACTTTTCATTGTAAAGTGACATTGGCGGATACTTCCAGGAGTTAAAATTGTTGAAGTACATACATAAATTAATAGTTTCTAGCTACGCTTAATATCATAATCTCCAACATTTGTCCAAAACGTGGGAATTTTCAAGGCTGAAGGAATTAAACGAGAAAAAACCACAATTTAATCGAAAAAAATATATAAATTTGTCCATATTCTCTCCCATTCTATATTTAATATGATATATCTTCTAATTATTAAATATTTCTTATGTTTGTCTTCGTAAAACTAGTAGTTCATTCTAACTATTTTAATTAAGTCTTAGTTAATTTCTTGTTAGTTACACAAAACTTCAGTTAGGCAAAATATATAGCTATATTACGATTAAAAGAGTAATGGTTAATACAGTAGGTATTTTTTGGGCCATTAATTTCTTCTGCTTCCAGTATGGTTACAGTAATACTACATTCATTGGATCTTATCAAAGTATGTTCCTATCACGATTAGCTGATGCCATTCCTAGAACGACAGTTCATATAATTCGCTTTGATTTCTTGGCTATGTAGTACATAGCAGAAACCAGAAACTGCATAGAAATACTGGGACAAGTGACATGTTTCGTCACCAGGATTTAAATGTACCCTTAAAAAAGTCTTTCAAAGTTATATCAAGCCATTATACGAGTACAGTAGAATAGACACTTCTGACATTCCGTCTAAGGCTATTTAATTAATTATTCATGAAACCACTTTAAATTGTAGACAGAAACATAACTATCACTGTTATAATTTGTCGAATGGTGTAAGTGTTGGTAACGTTTTGATGTTTTAGAACTCTTTAAACAGTAAAAGTGTGAAGGACGCTTTACAACAGTGAGCCACCTATAACACTGTTTTGCAGTTCGAGAGTTAAATTCCTGTCAATATTAATGGGTAAGGTATTGAGGCAGACCCTGGCAAAAGCAGGGAAATTTCCAGGAAGAAGATTAACGGGTAAGGTATCGGAATCACGGTAACACGATTGGTGTTTTGTTAGATGTTTCATCGGCTCGAGAATTCTTAAGAATCTATATGAAGCTTTGATAAATATTTCAGCCAAGTAGATTTTATGTTGTCATTTCTCAATTAATAATCTGGGATTTTGCTGTCATTTATTATTAAATTAGTGTAAGTACTTCTACTTTTTAACATATCTCATATTGTAATTAGTAAAAGTAGTTAAACAAAAAAGAAATGAAAATAGCGAAAACTTTTATTACAGATTGTACGGCATGGTGACTTTGTGATTGGTTCAGTATTTCAACTACGTGAAATAAATTTAATAATGACAATTAAAATGGTTTTTATCTTGATACAGAACTCTACTGCTTTTTAGAAGTTATACAAAAGAATATATGAATCCTATGCTAATATGCTCCTCTCAAACTCCTTCACAAACAAGGCCGGCAACGCATCTACAACACCCGTTGTGTTGCAGATGTCCATGGGCGACGGTAACTACTTACCATCACGTAGGCCGTCTGCTCGCTTGCCCTTTGGGACATAAAAAAAATGCGTGCGTACAAAGTACACATGTCAGAAGGGAAACTTCTTTGCACTGTTCGTGATACTACGTTCGTCCTGTCTTACTCTCTCTCAATCGGTCTCGATCGCTCTCTCTCTCTCTTTCGACACTTCCGTTGCATACCGGCGTGACGTTACATCTGTAAAAGTTTTACATCATTTACTCATGCGCCTAAGAAGTTTCACTTCAAAAAGTGTTTACCAAACTTTTCCATTATAGATAATTTCAAGAAGCCTTCAATCAATTACATTCAATCGAGTTTTCTAATGGTTGTGCTGTAGTTGTTGATACATCACGTTAAAAGAGGTCTAAACCTAACTAATTGTTGCTTGAGTTGCACATTTCTGCTTTAGATCAAGCAACAATATCGTATCCTATAAGTTAGTTACCTACATAATTTTTAATAATAGTTCCTTTAATAAGCAAACAAGCTGTATTTTTGCAGATCTGAGTCAAAAAAAAAATTCAAATATTATTGCAAGGGTTTTTTCCCTTCTACATGAAAATTAATTATTTTTGCCAAATTTTAATAGTTTTACTGAGACTAAAACAAATAAATTTTAATATATTATAACTGTAAAACTCATATGATATTATAAAAAGTGTTGGCAAGTATGTTTTGTCATAATATTTATAATTTATTCTACAAAGACGAGTAATATTTGGATTGAGGTAAAATATTATAGCCGTCTACGTAGAGAAGTGACTCCGAGCATTTGTAGGTCTTCAATTAGTTTCCACTGACACAGTTGTATGACAAACACTACGCGATTGTTGTTTGCATATATTTTGTCTGTCTCTTAGTATTTCCTTTAACTTGATTACCAACAAAACACTAGCAGGATTATTCAAATTAGGCATCCGTAGACGTCTTAAACGATCACATTTCACCAAGTAATTTAGGGAACGAAATGCAACTAAATGCGGTTCACATTTGACAATTTCGTGTCCAAGTCGATAAGGAAGTCTCTCGGGATGTTCAATTTATATCAGCATATGAAGCCTGGGGAGGCCAAGGAACAGAAGGAAGCGGAAACGACCGGACATGACAGGTTTTACCAGGAGCGTTCAAGATCCAGTTACAGGAAAAAGAAGAAACGAGCGTGTCGTAGAGCACAGTCTGCAGCTGAGTTTGATCCGGCGTCAGTGGCTGCTGCGAATAAGAGAGATGCGTTCAGACTACGCTCTGTGTCTACCGATAAAGAAGAAAGTGAAGGTAGGTCTGTGTGGATGGAGCCTAAGAAGACGTCTTCACTCTTTAGAACAGCTTTTGGTTATTATTTATTATGTTGGTATTTTTTTACATATATGTCTAAGTTTTCACAGTGTCTCATAAATATTGGTTTTTCCCTACACTGGAACTTTATCATATACTTTTTTTTAATTAGCTTTAACGAGTATGTGATTATTTTTCTTTCTGTCATGTGTTGTGTGATGATACCCGCTAATCACATTTTAATGATTAATTCATTGTTATTCTGTTTATAACTCTAATTGCTATTAGACTGCAAATGCTATTAATATAATCTAAATATTATTTGGAAGGAAATTAATAGAAGGTATTGCATTGAACTAGATAAACACGTATCAATAATAACAGTTATATGAATGTAATGGTAGCTTAAAGCAATGATAGTATGTAGTGTCATGTCTTTTTCTCAGAGGAAATATCCGAGCGTGCCCCGTTAGTTGCCCAGAAGATAGATTTCTTAGCAAAATTTCTCTTCAACAAATCATTGATGGGATCTGGCTCAGGAAAATCATCACCTTCGGAAGCCACATCTTCACCAAGGTATGAACATCATTACATACATCATTTTTAACAATAATAGATTAGCTTTTCACCAGATTATAACTAAAAGTGTGGTGTATCTTGAAAATGAATTGATGAAGCCGTACAAAAACCGTGGGGTGGATAGGAAGGAAGGATTTCCAGCCCACCCACTTATTAAATGCAAATCACCAATTGTGTACGATAAGTTAGCTTGGAATGAATTTAATCTGTTATTTACTTCATAAATTATTGCAGTTTGTAGAGTATATTTTCGTCTATTTTGTCTAGCATATCTTTAACATAGTACCACGAAAAATCACACATTTGATGCAATGAAAAATGCAATATATGTTTTTTTATTACGATAGATACATATATTAGTCCAGTCATTTAAGCTTAAATTAGGTAAGAATCTCGGAATTCGAGATACCCAGCTGTAAGTCTGTAAATAGTTGTATATTGACACCCTAAAAGTTGTCTCAAAACCTACATATGGTAGGGTGTAAGCAACTATTAAATTTCATGGTCAAAGGTCACAAAAATCGTTTTTTTGCGCTTTTTTTGGAAATATCTCATTTCCTATGGGTTTTGTGCTATTTGTATTTATTATCAATATTGTAGAATACTAAATTCTCTACAAATTTTGTTTCAAATTTTTTTTTATACGGTGTACCGTTTTCGAGAAAGAGGGCGGAGAGCGCGCGGTCACCGCATCACTTCAGGTCAACCGGTACCTCCGGTCGAAAACGCGCCATATATAGTTGATGAACTATCAATAAATCAATGATTATAAATATTTGTCAATTTTTATTAACTATTATATTCTATTTTATCATTTTTTTCCTAACTTATCCACTTTTTATTCAGTATTAATTTATTTAACAACACTTACCTGTCCATGTAATTGCAGAATTGTTAATGAGAATATAAGAATTATATTTGAATTTTAACCTAATTAATATTAATAACTTCTTACATGATGAAAAAAAAAACAAATAAATTATGAATTAATCTTTTTATTGAAAAATATCATTGAATAAATTATTTTTTATTGAAAGTAAAAAAATGGAATAAAGGGTACAAAAACTACAATTTATAATTTTAAACATCTTCTTCCTCTTCATCGTCGTCTTCTGGCTGCTGGTAAATTTCAAACTGGTCTTCATTATCGTCTTCAACGACATTTGTTTCAAGTTCTTCCATGATTTCGGGATCAAAGGTTCCATCTTCGTTAATGTCGCTCTGATATGGTTGAGCATTGAGACAAGCTTGCCCATTACATTGGCCACAAGCTAAAGAGCGTTGCAAGCCCGCTTTCCTGCATCCGCATCGCGAACCACAACCACTTTTGCAGTTGCAGAAAATTGTATTTATCAAATTTTCTGGAGCAGGTGGTAAAATTGTCATGATAGGCTTCAGAAAATCATTTCGCATTGCCCAACCCCATACCTTCGGTTCCAAATCATGTCCTAACCAAGTTTGAAATTTGAAATTTGAAATGTTGATGAGCAGCTGCACTTGTTGGTGGAATATTTGAAAGCTGCACAGGTTTATTAAGTTTTGTAGACTTGACGAAATGCGTATAACGAAGATGATCGAGACTTTTCACAGATTTCGGAGCATTATAGACTGCCAATAAGGTTTGAATAGATATAGATTTAATGCATGAAGAAAATGATAAAATATAATATAATAGTTAATAAAAATTGACAAATATTTATAATCATTGATTTATTGATAGTTCATCAACTATATATGGAGCGTTTTCGACCGGAGGTACCGGTTGACCTGAAGTGATGCGGTGACCGCGCGCTCTCCGCCCTCTTTCTCGAAAACGGTACACCGTATAAAAAAAAATTTGAAACAAAATTTGTAGAGAATTTAGTATTCTACAATATTGATAATAAATACAAATAGCACAAAACCCATAGGAAATGAGATATTTCCAAAAAAAGCGCAAAAAAACGATTTTTGTGACCTTTGACCATGAAATTTAATAGTTGCTTACACCCTACCATATGTAGGTTTTGAGACAACTTTTAGGGTGTCAATATACAACTATTTACAGACTTACAGCTGGGTATCTCGAATTCCGAGGTGAACTTACTATAATGACTGGACTATATATAGAGGGACAGCAAATGAAAAATTAAGATTTTATATGTAGCATATCAATGATAGACAATAAGGTGTTTTGGTATTTACAAACGACTTAAGACGTTAAAATTAAATATCAATCAATAGCCAAAAAGATAAAAAAACATGATTAATTCTTTCGTAATAAATCTTAAAATAATAATAATCGTAATAAATCTTAAAAAATTAAGTAAAATTTCTTGACTTTAAAATGTGAACTTCTTTTCTGTTATTTTTGTGCGATTGTTTTAAATTAAAATTTCATAATGATGACTTTCAGAGTACCTGAGCGATCAATGGAGAGTTCCGTAGCTTTGGCGATATGCAATGAATATTTAGCACACACTCCGAGGTAAGATTTAGTTATATTCAATAATAGCATTTATTTATTTCTTTTGATCTTTAATGAGACAATTCTTGGCCTGAAACTATGTTCAAATTAATATTTAGTAAAGAAACAATGGTTTAAATGAGTAAAGTGTTCATTTTGTGTTATATTAATGTTGTAACAGATACAGTATGATGTCGCCGCTGGGTCAGATCGGCTCTCGTCCTAACAAGCATTGGTTCGCCATACATGATAACTCCATCAAGACTGAACGACTGCTCATTCTTGTAAGTTGATAAATAACGACAATTAAGCTTTTGTTAATCGTATTTTCTGCATTGTTCTTGAGTCTTTTCGTCCCATTTTGTGCAGTGTTGGGCACTATTAAATTATTGTTTTACTGAAGTTGATTTATTTTGCGTAAAAACCATTTATTTGCTGCACACATACATTACATAAGAAAATAATTAAATTTATAGAATACAGTGTAGGAGCAAGGGGTTCGTCTCAGTATAAGCTGTGCTAATACACAGCACTGATTTTCAGATGGTAAACATACACAAATGCGCGCTCACGAAAATAAATAAATGAAATTCTAAGAACAAAATACTAAAAAGCCCTTATCCTTGAGAAAAAAAAAAAATGTTCTATTTCCCGCGTATTTTACATGACTGGTCGTTCCAGATGCCGTTGTCTAGTAGGTGTTCTATAGAGCCCAGTGATCGTTCTCGTGAGCTCATGAAGGAGTTGTTCCGAGCCCTCCATCACCCCTACATCTGCCCGGTACTAGACTTGGAGATGTGCAGCGGACACGCCATCGCCGTACTACCATACAACTCAAGAGGCAGCCTCAAGGACGTCATCTATAAAGTATGTAAAATTTCACTAATTAATGTTCAGCCAATATAGTCTTTGTTCTTCATACAATACAATTTCAGGCATTCCAATTAATTTGAAGTATTATTTGTTGTTTAAATGAAAATATAATTGGTATGTTGACTCTTTTGTTTGCAATTGACGTATGTACTTACCAGATAAAAAATATTATTAGGTTAAAAAACGTAAATATATTTTTGATCGATAACTTTAAATTTCCAAATGGAATAACGTTAAAAATTAATCCTACTAATATTATTATTGCGAAAGTTTGTGAGTGTGTGTACGTTTGTTACTTATTCACGCTCAAACGGCTGAACCGATTTTGACAAAATTTTGTATACACTAAGCTGACATCCAGGAATAAGACATAGGCTACTTTAAATCCCGGAAATCCGCGGGGCGCAGCTAGTAATTATATATTTTTAATACTGAATCTGATTATTAAATGTATATCAGAGTACGTGGAGTGATGAGTACAGTCGTAAGTACAATTCGTCGGGGGCCGGTCTGCCGCCGACACAAGTGGCTCGTTTCGGGAGACAGATCTTGGAAGGGTTAGTGTTCCTCAAGGAGAAAGGGTTCCCGCCCTTCAGACATCTACACACTGGAAACGTTGTGGTGCAAAATGGTGTAGCACGGTTGGTATAAACTTGAAGTTTTCCGACTCTTTAATGTGTCATCTGTTATTTAAGTCTGTTGGTTTCTGTCAAAATAAATGTTAATTGGGTCTTCTTCTCCTTCTTCTTTAGTTAGTGGCGTTTCCTTATAGATTTAACCAATGTCGTGTAGTTATGTAATTGGGTCAAAAAGACATTCAGTTTGGGATACATAGTAATAATTCATAATATTATTTCCAGTAGCAATCGTTAAAAAGTTCTTGAAGATTACCCATTTCTCTCATTTTGACTAGCTGGTATTTATACTCTATACAGGGTGACTGGTGAATTACTATCAATATTTAAGGAGCATACTCGGTACATGATTCTCATTCAAATTATGTAAAAAAAATAGGCACTTAATTTTTGACAAAATTTCCGTATAAATAAATAAAGTGTTGACACGTTCCAAGTGTTCCAAGTGTGAACGCGTGCGGCGGCGCGCTGATACAACACTACGCCGCAACACGCGTATGTGTGAGTGTGTGTGTATACCTAATCTATAGGGTGTTCACACGATGCGTAATTAATTACATAACTTTTGGTTAACTTTACTTAGAAGTTTATTAATATTTATGTTATATTCATTTTTATTTTGTCATATATGATCGTCAAATATCACGTCCTCAAATATCGATAGTAATTCACCAGTCACCCTGTATATTAGTCAATATTTGTAGTCGCAAATATTGACTAATATAAGATATTGAAATTTGGTACAGATATAGAGTTGACCTTGAGAAAGAACAGGATAGTTTTTATCCCAGCCTCTTGGAAACGCGATATAACCGAACTCGACGCGGGCGAAGCTGCGCGCGGAAAGCTAGTTTAAAATAGTCCCTTAATCAACCAATGTCGATTATTATGTTCAACAATGGAAACTTTTATCATATCGCACTCAAACTATTATAGTTTCTCCCCTATTTTTATATTTTACATAAATACTATTTCATTTTCGTTTCAGTTGTGTATCATCTATAGTACATGTTTCAGTATATGCGGTATAGAGAACACATTGATCGGCGCGCCCCCCCGGCCGGCTGTTCGTTCCCTGCCCCTGGAGCACGTGGAGTCCCTCGCCCTGGGTCACGTGATGTTTGAGATGTGCGCCGCTGACACTGACCTAACACTGATAACTGACCTGCCGGCTGTTTACTCACAGGTAGAGAGAGATAGATGACAGAGGTAGAGGTAGAGGTTGAGGTTGAGGTATAGGTAGAGGTAGAAGTTGAGGTTGAGGTAGAGGTAGAGATAGAGATAAAAGACTTTTAAGGAATAAAAACGACTTTGATTTTCTTCGAATATGAGAGATAAGAGGTAATTATCTAATATTTTAATTGAACTGATTGAAGAAAGAATAATAAACCTGAAAGGAAAAAATTAATCAATTCAAAGAGATTTATTGTAATAAATAGTGTTTTATCTGAAATGTGACGTTAAGTTCGGTATTCCATAAATTGTGTATATTTTTCACATCTTATAAAATATATGCCAAATATATTATAATAAAACAAGTACCATTTAAAAAAAAATTGAAATATTTTAAATAATAATTGTAAACACATACAAAGTATTTTTGATTCTTTTTATTTCTGGGAAATGTCAAAAAGATATTAGGAAAAAGACAAAATCTAGAAAGAATCTATTTTCAAATATCAAAAGCCAATATTAATAACTTTAGTTTTCTAATAAATTGGCTTTTCAAGTTTCTCAAGAAAAGTATTTGTGTATTGTCAAGGAAGGTTATCAATAAATTGTCCAAAACACTTTGCATTAACGATTTTCAAGAAAGGAAATGGGTGTACTTTTTCCCAAAAAATACTTTCTTGCATTCCCGACATAATTTATAAAATTCTGAAAGTATATATTCAATTCAATAAAGTCAGCAGTGGTCTAGTGGTCAAAGGGTCCGCCTCTTGTTGCCGAGTTCGCGGGTTCAAACCTGGCAAGTACCAATGTGATTTTTCGGAGTCATATGTACTTTCCGAGAGTATTTAGACACCACTGACATACGGTGAAGGAAAAACATCGTGAGGAAACCTGGACTTATAGTTTCACAATTATAAGTTTGAAATCACCAATCCGTGTTGAGCAAGCGTGGTGATTAATTATCAAAGCTTCTCCATGTGAGGAGAGGCCTTTGCTCAGCAGTGGGCTCTGATAGGCTTATGATGATATATTGAATATTGTTTCTTTGGTCCTAGTAGACACAGTGTGTGTGTGTGTGTTTCACAGGTCGTGGACATCATAGAGCTCATCTTCAGCGCTCGTCCCCCGAGCCTGCACGAGCTGCTGCTGTGTGAACTGTTCCGGAAGATAGACCTCCGGGAAATGAAGGGATCGTGTTTACCTGTGAGACTTACTAGATATATAACATCAATGTTCTCATCCCTACTAATATTATAAATGCGAAAGTAACTCTGTCTGTCTGTCTGTCTGTTACGCTTTCACGACTAAACCACTGAACTGATTTTAATGAAATTTGGAACGGACAGAGTTGACCTTGAAAAAGTACATAGGATAGTTTTTATCCTAGACTTTTGAAAGGTTCTCTTGGAAAGCTAGTTCTATGGAAATGTATTCGTGACATTCTTGTTCATCGAAATGTCTTAACAATCGGTATAAATTTAAATGAAACTAATATAATTCGGTTATACTACGCGACTTTATTTTTGATAAAAACTACATACTCCCGACGCTTCGGCTGCTTTACAGCAACCGTGATCACGGGTAGACGAGGTGAGTTTCTGTAAAGTGGTTTTTTATAAAAATAAAGTCACGTAGTAGCTTTGAAAAATATTAGTTTCAGTGTACGAAAAAACCAATATTGGTTTATGAGACACTCTGAAAACTTACATATATGTAAAAAAATACCAACATAATTGTAATAAATAAATAATAAAAATAATATAATAAATATTTTAAATGAATAAAACTCGCGAACATCTTAGATCTCATTATTTTGTATAAAATTTATGTAATGTTATGTATTGATTTCTTATTTATATTTACAAAATATAATATTAGAAATCTAGTTTGAATTGTTTCCTGTATTATATGTATAGAACTTCAGTCAGCGTCTATCCCACTCGTGCCTCTCCCTCCTGAGCGAGGTGTCTCGTCGTCAGAGTGTTGGCGCGTCTTGTTCATCTCCTGGCTCCACTCGTGGTGTGTCACCCGCCACGCCACCCTCTCGGAGGTGGGCGTGTTACTTTTTATATAAACTAGTCAAAACAAAATAGGGCCCACTTGGTTTTTATTATGGAAAATAAAAACTGACGAAAAAATTATTTTTTCATGAATAGATGTGTTAAGGGTAAAGTCTTAATAATTGTCCAAACCAATCAAACCATGTATGTGTTACAGATAAAACATTGGCTTGATTTGATTTGACCAACTGTCAATTTTGATAATTTTTTTATAGATTTATAAATTTATTTACATATGTTTTCAATTTAATGATTTCTATGTATTAATTATATTAGGTACTAAAGTAATTTAATTACAATTGTTTGTAAAACAAGTTTTTCATATAAATTTATTACATTTCAGGAGGTACCTCTTTCTAGATCAGGACTACACCGAAGAATGGCAACACTGAGACTAAAAATTATCCTGTATTAAAAGAATTACTGAGAAATTAAATAAAGTAGTGATGTATGAAATGTTTCTTTTAATTTATTAAGACTATTTCTTCTTGATTAATATGAATTTATATTCTGTACACCATACAAGTACCATTCCATTGTATACTTTGAGAAAGGATTGTTAAGAACGATATTTACTTGTATGTTTATAATAAACTTACAATTATAAGTACATTAAAGAGACAAAACTAAATGTATTATTAATAATGAATTCCGGCAAGGCTTTCTTTTAACATTAACTTGTAATATAATTAATATAATTTATTAGTTTATTAACTTCAAGTTCTTAAAGTTATTCATGGCAAAGGTTATCTATTAGGTCAACCACCACTTCTAAGCTAGTAATAATTATAATGATTACCGGATTATGTAGTTGGCTAATAAAGCTTCCTATTTGGATCGCATATAAAAGTCGTTTTTGAACTAACTAAAGCGGGCGAAACCAAAGGCTCAATGCTATCACCGACTCTGTTAATAATGCCTATCAACGATTCGTTGCAAATCAACGGCATTCATTGCTATGAAAGTCACAAAAAAGGTGATGCTTTATATGTTGACAGAACAAATATTACCCGCCATCGAGTAGAAGGGAGAAGAATAAGACTTCGTCTTAAATAGTCTTTCTTGTGGTGAATTCCCGAATGGGGCACGTCGACATAAATTGTGTGTGTGTGTCCCCAAGAAGATGATTTTGCGTTCTTACTGCCAAAAAATATTTTCTCTAGATCGAAATTCTAAAACATCCCAAAAATGCCACACTTGCTTATACTAGCCGACTCCTGGCTTGTACTAAGTACATACACTTGACTCCGTACCATGCTAGTTATTTTGACCCGTCGACAATTAAACATTACAGATTATTTTGATTCCTTAGATCTCCGTAAGAACATAAGCTCACACTGCTTACTCTATCAACTGTATAAACAAAAATGATCAAAGGAATTATTAGACATAGTACCATCATCTCACTTATAACAGCACTCTTCATCATAGATTTTGATGTCACCAATATTTTCTGGAGGTTCTTTATAGCAGAACAATATGACGGACCTAGTTCATTTTTTTTGAGGTATAGGAAAACGATCTCTCTCCTAAAGTTTGCTCTCAGTAAGAGATCATTTCCCCATCATTATTTTAATAGTAGTGTTAAGTTTTTGAACAAATTATCAGGAAATACGCTGAATGTTCTTTTGATTTTATGTTAGTATAAAAAATGTTAACGTTTTTATTACCTACTTACTTAGTTTATAGCTGGAAACTTTTATATACCATTGCAGTTTTTAGTCTTGAAACCAATTTGGATGTAGTTTCCATAAACAAAAATAAACAACAAAAGAAATGAAAGGTTTCCATGCAGTTGTCAATGTTTTATATACAATAAAAACTATTTGGTTCTCATGTTTCGAGAATTACTTTAAAATTTTGAATAGTAAATTTCATCACAAATTTTCAATTTATACCTATAATAAATTCTAATTAATTATTATTTGCAAAAAACAGTTTCAAACTGTTTAACTGTAAAAAAGTTGTTTGCTAAATAGATAGATCTATTTAGCAAACAGCTAGACTTAATAATCTTAAACAGTTCTCTAGACTTATAATATACCATTACGAAGTAAAAATATAACGTTCTTTTGAGGAGCAGTTTCCAAATAAACAGGTGAAAAAGAGCTGGCACAAACAAGGGAAGTAATAATAAAATTGACTTATTGACAACCATCAAATACAAAAATGGTTATTTAAAAGAACATGTTTTTAAATAGTCCGAATAAACTAAACAATAAACCATAACATCCAACCATAGGAACAAAAAATAAAAATGGGCGGCGAAGAAAAAAAACCAACCAGAAAGCCTATACCAACTTGGCTTAATTTTGTTTTTGGAGGTCTTAGTGGGTAAGTTGGATTGCTATTGTGGATCACACACTATACTTGACCGGTTAAAGGACAATCTTTTCCACAGCATGATGGGTATATGCGTGGTCCAGCCGGCAGATTTGGTTAAGACCAGGATGCAGCTAGCCGGTCCCAAGGGCAATCAGAGCGTAGTGGCGACGGTCGGGAATATTCTCAAGAAGGAAGGAGTCACAGGTTTCTACACCGGGCTCTCGGCAGCTCTGTTCAGACAAGCCACCTACACTACCGGAAGACTGGGAGTCTATAATGGGATATCCAACTATTACACAAAGTTAGAATTTCACTTGCAGATTATCAATTTCCTAACTTTCGTTGCTCGTCTCAGTTACATTCAAATATAAACACTATAAAACATTATAATCATTGTGTAGCTGTAACTAGATGTTATGATCTTTCGTAACATGTAAGTGTTGTTTGATAAGTTTTTTTATACTTCAAGGACATGCAATAAAACTTGAATAAAGGTTAGCAGATCACCTGCGATTGCTGGCAGTAGTAGAAGTTATTGTATGACAAATAATAAAATAAATAATAGACGTTCTGTCAGTCTTTACAGAGTTATTTTTATAGCGCTTATGGAGTACCGAGTTTTCCGGTGAAATTGGTTATTGGTATGATCGCGGGTGGCATCGGAGCTTTCATCGGGACTCCGGCAGAGGTCGCCCTGATCCGTATGACTGCTGACGGACGGCTTCCTCCCGAGCAGAGGAGGAACTATAAGAACGTGTTCAACGCTCTCGCTAGGTAATACTTTAGTACTAAAAAATAACTGCCTGTTACAAGGACGAAAATCTAACAATAACTCTAGTACTAGTTTCGTCTGGCTCAACTGTTACTCGTGTAATTGCCGGATTGGACATATAACAATAAGATCTATGTTCCAATGATCCATTCGTTCTAATTTGTTTATGAATTCTGTGGACAAGAGGTAGTGGATTTGCTTTTTTCTTTATTTATAATTTCTACACACTACACTTTAATTGAAAGTTCTGTCGTATTTTAAAGGACCAGATAGTAAGACCCTTGAAAATATTTTTAAAAAATCTGGTTATTTAGTCAGTATGAGTTAATTAATATTTAAAATGACAAACAAGCCATCAATCAAAATATATTTTTTTTGTAAATAACAAGAAAAGGAATCCATTGCATATACAGGGTGACTGGTGAATTACTATCGATATTTGAGGACGTGATATTTGACGATCATATATGACAAAATAAAAATTAATATAACATAAATATTAATAAACTTCTAAGTAAAGTTAACCAAAAGTTATGTAATTAATTACGCATCGTGTGAACACCCTACAGATTAGGTATACAGTCACACTCACACATACGCATGTCGTGACGTGGTGTTGTATCAGCACGCCGCCGCACGCGTCCACACTTGAACACTTGGAACGTGTCAATACTTTACTTATTTATACGGAAATTTTGTCAAAAATTAAGTGCCTATTTTTTTTACATAATTCGAATGAGAATCATGTACCGAGTATGCTCCTTAAATATTGATAGTAATTCACCAGTCACCCTGTATAAGTGAAAAAGACATTGTAACTTTTCGAACGCGATAAAAATAGTTAAGTAAATTTCTTTCCACTTCCTAAGCCTGCAAAATTTAACCACATTTAACAAATAGAGAAAATGCAAGAGATTTTCATTAATATACACATGTCAGATCTTAAATCTTTGTTTTTATGTTCAATTTTGTGTAAAAGCCCTGATATAAGTATCAAAGATTTCGTTAATGAACCAGGATCTCGAGAGAAGAAGGTCCTGCCATGATGTTCAGAGGCGCTACAGCTACCGTGACGAGGGCAATGGTGGTGAACGCTGCACAACTCGGCTCCTATGCTCAGGTCTGCTTATTTTTTTTTATTTTTAGTTTATTGGAGAAAAGTCAGTCAAGTCCGTGGTGGCCTAGTGGTTAAGGGGTCCGCCTCTCGTGGCCGAGGGCGCGGGTTCAAACCTTGGCAAGTACCAATGTGATTTTTCGGAGTCATATGTACTTTCTGAGAGTATTTAGACATCACTGACATACGGTGAAGGAAAACATCGTGAGGAAACACCTGGACTTATAGTTTCACAATTATAAGTTTGAAATCACCAACCCGTCTTGAGCAAGCGTGGTGATTAATGCTCAAACCTTCTCCATGTGAGAAAGAGGCCTTGCTCAGCAGTGGGCGCTGATAGGCTGATGACGGAGAAAAAACAGAGCACAGGAGTGTAATAAAAAATATAAACTATAACACAGTAAATTAAAGATAAATAATATCCTAGTCCTTATACATTTCTCACTAAGAAATATAGATAAATTAAAAAGAGAGGACGCTTGGGCACGCATCTCTAATAATACACTTGGTAAAAGCGATGTGTACAAATAGTGTGTAAATTTTAATTTAAGGATGTGATGGTAAATGTGCTGAGAATATTTAGCTTAGATTCAAAACATATTAAATATATCACTACAAACAGATATATCTATATCTATTTATATAAATCTAATCTTTATAGTACATAGTTTATCATTATTCTAAAACATCTATTATAGATAAGCTTTTCGATCGTTAATACGTTTTTCAAAGCTGCAACAATTTCAGTGGAAAAGAATATATACTCAGACAAGTGCTGAAAAGTATAATCACATAAAACCAATAGATTACAATTTAATTTTAGCGATTTTATTTACTCGAAACTTGGATCTCATCCAAAGATATGTAAAATCTTCAAACTATATCATATTATTTAGAAAACAGCGAATTTTATCTGGTATTAACCTAACGCAGAAAACAACTCAGTACAGATCAGCTAGTATTATTAGAAACGGAAATTTTAAATTACATTAAGTATGCATCCAATATGAAATACTAGTCTTTCGTTAGAATAACATATGTCGATAACATGTGTGATCATCAGGCCAGGGAGATGTTGTTACCACAACTGGGAGATGGCATCGTACTTCACTTTATAGCGTCCCTGATATCTGGTCTGGTCACCACCTTCGCATCCTTGCCAGTAGATATCGTGAAGACCAGGTAATCCAATAATATACATTTTGACGTGATAACGTATTTAAAATCGTTTTAGTCGGGTGACATGTTCAGAAACTTGTGTCACACCAAAACCTCACGAGCGCGATCGCAGGTATAACGAGAGAGAGACGGATCGATCTCCCGTCTCATCTCGAGCGCTGCCAGTCATTCCGTTAAACTTGTCACGCGGAATCCTCACGAGCGGAGGCAGGCATAGCGTTCGAGTGAGTGGACCGATCTTCCGTCTCTCTCGCTTTAGCGGCATACAAACGAATGGAGATTTTCTCGTGCGCTTAAGTTATCGTTGAATGTTTAACGATAGATGTTATTTAAAATTTGAAAAAATTGTTATCTTCATTAATTCCTTACTTCCCAAAAACTTATATCACCAATAAGACGTTATCACGTAAATATCTCGATCGTAAACCTACTTTACAAACAACCAATTTTTTTTTGCCATAATTTAGTTTTGCGTTTTTACAATATCTTTCTTTATAAGCGAAATGATTCTCACAGAGTACAAAACTCAGCAAAAGGAGCCAGTCAAGTCGGTGTTTTAATGAGCATTATAAAAAACGAGGGGGTGTTCGCACTGTGGAAGGGCTTTATACCAACGTATGCGAAGATCGGACCGCTGACAATCCTCATTTTTGTATTCTTGGAACAACTGAACGGTCTTTACTATAGATACCAGGAGTCATTGGAGGAACCCAGCAAATAATAATACAATAATATTCCTAGAAAAAAAACAACTGGACACTAAAATGACGAATGTAAAGTTCTTTATTCATAAGCCAGGATTTATACCTCAAACCAGAAAAGTTATTCCATGTCCAAACAGCTGATAATGCTTTCTTATTCTTTGAGAGTCATGTGCAAGAAAATGTAGGTTCCACAGACCCAAACTATTATGGCAACTTATGTAATCTGTAATATTTATTTTACCATAACCTTGATTTGTCTGTTATTGTGAGTTACAAGAAAAAGTATAATAATTAATTTAAATTATTTCATAACGGAGGAATGGTCGAGAAATTAAAAAATGAATCCTTTGACCTGAATTCCGTCATAAATTATTTTGGATATACTTGAAAATAAGCATGATAATGGACGCAACTGAGAAAAGACGAAAGTTCAACAATATTGTCGACTGTATTATTAAATTAAATGTTTTGTATCGCAGTTATTGTTATCGTATTTTAAATCTGATGGTAGTCTTTTCGTAAACCTAGACTTATCGTGTTTCTCGTTTATTATTTACTTAAGCCATTCAATTTAATTGTACCTATTTATGTATGTTATTTTTAGGACACCTTTTTAATTACTTTGTGTATGTGGAACCTACATCAAATGCTTCTGCGTCTGTATTTAATCATTGTCACTTTATCAAATAACGAAACCAAGTTTATTCCAGCCATCGAAACTGCAAAATGAATATTTAGAGATGTAAAAGTTTTGTAATTGCCGTCTGTTATTGATAGAATAAAAAAAGAAAAAGAAAACGTATAGTGACAAATGTGATAAAATAATTTGTAGTAATTTAAATAAACACGTTATTTCCGAGTCGCACGAAGAAAGTTTTACCGCTTACGATAGACGGAATATTAAAATGTCTTCAAACATGGCGGTACTACTAAGTATTAGCTATATGGAAGTGACGTTTTTGAATTTTGACAGATGTATAACAAACGCATTCATTCATTTAAAATGCTCACAAATCATAGCTTGGAACTTACATTCAATAAAGCACTGTCTAATTAAAATTGTATTTGATTTACATATGTACTATATTTATTAAAATAAAACATATTTTTAATCAAAACTTTATTTAAATACACACAGCCCCATTAGATATACATTTTGATTTAAATACAGGCGGTCCTCGACTTACGTCGTTTCAAGTTACGTCGAACAATGTTTTGACACTATTCCTCAAACATACGTCATTTGTTTCGATTTCCGGCATATCGGAGAATTCACTTGTCGCAAGGTCAATGTCCGTGAGGGGCGCTAACCGTTTGCCTGACATTGCAGTTACTACTGATGATATTGATGATCTGTTAAGCTCACATTCGCAAGAACTGACTGATGAAGATCTTATTGAATTGGAGGCACAAGTACAAACGGAAGCACTCGAGTCACAAGAAATAGCTTCTTCTATTAGTGACTCTGAAAAAGAACTTACACTAAAAAAACTTTCCGTAGCCTTTGCAAATTTGAAGAACGCCATGAAAATTTTTGAAGAAAATGATCCTAATTTTGAGAGAAGTTTTAACGTTAATAACAAAATTTGTGCAGCCTATCACTGTTACCAAGATCTGTATGATAGCAAGAAGAAAGAAGCCAAGCAATCTAGAATTGATAGTTTCTTTAAGCCAAAAGTTTAATTTATTATTTATCATTACATATGTATAAGTTTTATAATTATTATTAAAATTAATAACACACAAATACCAAAAATAACTAGCAATTTCATAAGTGCATAATATATAATTATTTTAAGAACTTACTTTTAATAATAAAGTACGTCCTTTGTTATAAATGCAGTTTTTTTTATTATTTCGAGTCCGTGTGGAACCTAACCCTTGAGTTTTACATGTAAACATATGAAAAAATATGTCTCGACTTACGTCGTTTCGATTTACGTCGCGTATTTCAAGAACCTAACATGCCGTAAGTACGAGGACTGCCTGTACATTATTACAACAGTAATAATCAAACTCGTTTTCTCTTTGAAACGTCCGTAATTTGATAAAAAAAATGATAACTAAAGCTATCTTAGTCACCGAAGGAGATCTTAAATTAACAGCCATATTCCATTACGAAAACTATTAACAAAAAAACTATATAGGTTTTAAACGAAAAGTTGACATTTATATTACTACAAATACTTTATCATGTAAAAACATTCTGAATTCTGAATTCACGTGATAGGTTAAAATGAGAAAATATATAATTAAATTAATTCGTAATATTTTGAACTCTAAAACAATCACCTATAATAACTACGTATTAAATCTGGATTGGCATCTCTTTATATATGGTATATAACATCTTAAGTCAGCCATACGCGACCTCCTCGACGATAGTTTCCCAAGAATCTGTGGATTCCGTTTCCCAGGAGTCATCTTCTTCGGTGTTCTCATCATAATACGCTAACTGGAAAAACAAAACAAAATATAGTATACAACAATTTTTATACTACAGAATATTATACTGAACTCTGAAGGGCTTATTTCAATACACACACACACACACAAAACGCCAACGCTTCACCGTTCATACACACACGCACACATTAAGAGCGTAGATAATAAACAACTGTAAGCACAGATAATATAATAATAAACATTATTCCACCTCACTCTCCCTCAGCCTGTGTACAGTGTGAACTCTAATCTGGAACATCCACGCCTGCCCCAGTAACGCCGCTGTTCCTCCGAGCAGCAGCGGCATGCTGTACCTGGACTTCCAGGCCAGGCTCATCAGGAATAGGAATAGACTTTTCCGACCGGACATTACAACACTGGAAACATTCCATTCCAGTTATATATACATCAGAATTCAAAAATGGAACGTGATTTTCAATTGTCTTTAAAAAAAATAATATATTAAGTCTATGTTTATTGTCATAATACTCGAGTTTGGTATATATAGGAACTTTTTTCAAAACTATTTTTTAAATAATTCTTTATAATAATGTACCACGTCACATTTATCACATTATTTTGTATTGAAATCAATTTTAGAACAAACTATCATTCAATGTGTAACAGCTTTAAGTATTGAGTCTGATGAAGAATTAAAAATTTGTTTCATTTCATACAAGTATACTATTTTCTCTGCCAATATTATATAAACAATTGAACATTTAAAAATCTAAGCATTTTAATTTTATATCAAATGGTTAAAATATGGTGTAACATTATAAATTAGTTACTGAGATAATATTGTTTATCAAAACATACATCTCATGTGTTACTATGTTGCTTCATATTATGTAACAATAGATAAGGAGGTCGGGTCAAACAAATAAGTTATGAATGTAACTCATAAAAACAAAACGGGTCAAATTGAAAACACAATACAAATTCAATGCATTTATTATATATGAATTGCATTCATAAATTACATGAAACATGGAATGTAGATATAAATGCTAGAGAGCTACATTAACAATATCGGTTAAGCAAGCGGCTAACTTGAAAGCTAAATCTGATGAGATTTAAGGAGTATTAAGTTATTCGTCATCGAAATAGTCAACATGCTCCCCGGGACTGAATTTTCCAGCCAGTAGAACTTTGATACATTTTTTAGCTGTTATTTCGGGTGTCAGCAATGTTCCTTGATTCTTGAACGATGTGAAAACATCCCTGAGGTTTTCATTAACAGCTTCTTGGAGAACATAATCTATCATGGCAGTCTCGACAGGGCCTGGGGAGTAGTTGAGCACCCTCATGTGACGTTTCTCTTCAGCGAGTACTCGGAAGTACATTTCTCGTGCAGCCTTCCCACTGCAGTAGTAAGCCATGCCACCCATTGGCTTGATGGCGCACAGTGAAGTAATGTTGACTATGATCACCCTATCCTCAACCTCTTCAAATATTTTAAGGAACTGTGTGTTGAGTGATATCACTTTGAACACATTCAAATCATAGTAACCTCTCAGTTCCTCGATATTTTCCATACGAGTTGTCTCCACAGCCAAGTTACCGAGTGAGCCGACGTTATGGAATATTATGCAGTTGGCAAAATCGGTAACCTTCTGTCCACCCAGAGCTTGCATGATAACGTTAGTCATTTCTTTCTCTGTAGCTATCGACAGATCTATAGAATTAATGAGTACTTTCACTCCATCATTTTCACAGAGACTGGCTGTAGTAGCGAGTTGCTGTTTATTGCGAGCCAGTAGCAACATGACAGACTTTGGTTTCAGGCATTTCGATATTTCGACTGCTAGAGCCCTACCTATGCCCTGAGATGCGCCGGACACGACGCAGAAAGATGGCCCAGACAGATCAATGTTAGTAGATGCGGCCATAGTTACTTACAAGCACTAATAATATTAGTCCTCCAGAAGTTTCTCAGACTCTGTGTCTCCAACCACCGGCTCCAGGTCACAGCCCTCACGCATCAAACGCTCGATGCAGTCAGCTCGATACGCGGCGAGATTTTCCACCACTTTGTTCTTTTTTCTCAACGCCTGCAGTTTCCGCTCTACGAAATAAACATTTTCATATTAGGCCTGTACAATGTTAGAATAATTAATTTTAAAACAAAACGAGTTGACACTTATAAGTAGTTAATAAAAACCTTTAAAAAGCAGTTCACCTTGGCACAAATATTTTGCAATATACGTATGCTAGAACTATCGAGCAAAAACAATATTAAAAATAAATTATGATTAATGTAATTGATATTTAATATGTTATTTAATTAACCAACCCAACACAGCGAGATATTCCTCCGAGTCTTCTAACTTATCGAATGTTTTTTCTGGTTTAAAGTTATCTTCGAAAGATGACGCAACTGTTGTACTTATTGTTTCACAGCCCCAGGGATCCATCAAACCTAATACATGATAATAATGAGTTACATCGGTTACATCTCTACAATGATATCATTATTTGTTTATTTACTTAGCTAAAAGATCATGTCGTATGCCATGTTTTTACAATATTAATTAAAACTGTGTCAGCATTTCACTCTTTGATCATTTTATAATAAGTACTCACCCGAAGGTCAAATAATGAGATTTATTAGATTTTAAAGTGGTGGTAATAATTAGAAATAAAAAAATGTACGGCTTTAGAGATATTGACAAATTTGACAAACTATTTCTGACCTTAAAGTTTTACAGATAAAATATATACGATCGGATACACGTCAGACAGTGTCAAACACAATATAATAGAGAATCCATGAAAATATTATTATCGTGCATATTAATTTCAATTTTTTTCTGAAATGATATCTAAGATTTTTGCGTGTTCTCATTTAAATAAAACTGCCTGTTTTATTAACAAGCTTTTATTAGCTTTAATTGTAAGTGTGTATGTAATAAATTCTTAAAGCTTAATTTTCACCGATTATGTACGGTACGGTATGACAATGCAATAATTTGATAACAGTTTTCTATTATCCTTATCACTAGGATTAATGAATTCTTTTATAGATCCTTTGTAGTAGAGTTAGGGAGATATAGCTGTAGTCTGCGCATGTCTGCAGTTTGGGCTTAGTTTTTGGCTCGGGCACTCGACAGAGCACATTAAGGGAACCAGAGACTCAAGGCAGCTGTGTTTTCGAATCTCGACTTGTTAGTGCTTGATATTAAATGTTACAATTTCATTCTAGTAGCAACTATCTACGAGGGGAAAGATATGGAATTTGCCAAACTCACCCCACGCTTTTTACTATGAATGATATTATTCTGTTAATAACTTAAATTTTATTATAATTTTATTTTGAGGTGATTAACTATGTATGATTGGTTGACTTATGTATTAACTATGTATGATTGGTTCTTCTACTGTAATAAAATTTCTTTGCAATTGAATGTATTTTCTATTTTTAGAGCTATGAGAACGTGTTTTTTTTCTTTTTAACTATCTAGCTTGTCCCTTTGGGACATAAAAAAAATGTTGTTCAAGATGTCATATATGTTATTCAATAAGTCAAAAAAATCATAATAAATGTGTAAACATTTAGAATTCGTTAAGAATTTTTATAGTATAAGTTTCAATTTATTAGAGAAAAATCTGGCCATAATGTCGAGTGTCCGATTTTTTAATAAGTTTTTCCTTAAGCAGTCCCAAAGTAATTCTAAGCGTCAAAAATACACGACTCTTATGATGTATATTCCTTAAACTTATTAATATGTAATTTATAAGGATATATTTTTATATTTTTTATACATAATATAAATAATAGAAATCTTACACTATACAGTCGGTGCGAATATATCCGCGTTGCGCTTCTATGCTCGAAGTAAAAGACATTTTTAAAATGTACATCTTTTATCTCACCCCGAAGATGCAAAATTACAGTCAGAAATAACTCTATCATAAATAAATTTTAAACGTATACATTAGAATGAGATATAAAAAACGAAAAATCTTTATCGATGCCACTTATTTTAAAAGTTTAGCTTCTTTGTTATAATATTTTACGAAGATTTATCACTTTTAGTAATAGGTTTAATGGTCCCTACTAAAAGTTCCCATAAATTAGGGATACAATTGATTTTTTCTTTTATACCTATTTTGACTTGTAGATAATAAAATAAATTACTTAAACTTAAAAAGAAACAACAATGTAAAGTATTCTATCCTATATGAGGTTAATATCTACACATGGTTATTGGTTTAATTAAATTCTTAACTACTTGGTAATAAAGTCACGTACAACTATTTCTTTGTCCTATATTTTAATAAAAAGTTTTACTACAATTTTTCGTTGTTTCTTTTTGATTAGTCATATCTATTATTTATTCCAATGCTTCGGTCTTTTTAAATTTTCACAGCTAAAACAATGATTAGTCAATTTATTTTAATGTTTTCCTTTGAAAACTGTTCTGAGGAATTCTGTAAAGCAAATTTATAAAAGAATTTGTTGAAAACTATAATGACGGATCACGGAAGGCGGAGGACTGGGTATTGTGGCGCAAATTGAGAGAGGCCTATGTCCAGCAGTGGACCAAGAGTGGCTAAATGAATGAAACAAAATATAATGGCGACGTAAAAGACAAGGAATCAGAAATTAAATATCAACTTTTAACAGAATATTTGTATTTTCTTTCTAGAAATCAAAACGAATATTTTTTTATTAACAAGATACAAGAACGGTTAAATAGTTTGTCACTAATGCCCAATTAAATCTTTTAAATTTTATAATCCAAAATATAGACTTTGAGGATGTACTTAATTCATGATTTTGATGAGCTGATATCTAGAAGCGTAACAATAATACTTGAAATCAAATAGGTTTTCCTTGTCTAATAAGGGTACAATAATTTTAAACTGTCTATAATAAGTCAAAGACGCCCCTACGTATATAGAAATGATGAAGTCTTGAGTGTTGTAGTTGAATCTTAGTATCAGGACAAGCAGAGGCGCCTGTCATTATTGTTATTAAATATTCCTCTCTTGAGTAATTGCTATATTATTTTTGAAGGAACATTTATATAATGCTTTTATTAATACGTTATGTTTTCTTCATTTGACGTCTTTTAATAATGAAATTGCTATTATAGATTACACTTTACAATAATTAATACATGGACAGAAATTCGCTGTTTGACAATACGAAAACTTTAAATACGAAAAAATTTTTTAAAATGGTACAATATACTAAACCCAATCATGAAATTGAGGATGATTTAAATGGAAAAGAAATTATTTTGAAATAATGAAGGCATAGAATGATAGAATTTTTCATATATTTATATTTAACCTCTCTAGCCCACGGTACTGATGAAAAGATCACATTATTTTCAGCAGAATATCTACACCAGTTACTTGTGAATTAGCTTGACAAAACTATAATTTAACGCATTAAGATTGTCTTATAAGTTACTAGCTTTCCGCCCGCAGCTTCGCCCGCGAGGAGTTCGGTTATATCTCGTTTCCAAGAGAACCTTTCAAAACTCTAGGATAAAAACTATCCTATGTTCTTTCTCAAGGTCAGCTCTATCTCTGTACCAAATTTCATTAAAATTAGTTCAGTGGTTTAGGCGTGAAAGCGTAACAGACAGACAGACAGACAGACAGAGTTACTTTCGCATTTATAATATTAGTTAGGATTTTAGCTCAAGAGTCAAGTGTTCGCAATTTTCGTACTTACAAATTAGTTCGTTGCAGATATTAAAAATTAATTATTGTAGCCAAGATGACAGATGACACACTAGTATGTGAAGATTTGACATTTTTTTTTAGGTTCGACTTGACTGTAACATTTGACATGTTCTCCGGCGTCGGGACGTGACGACCCCATCGCCCACTGGTGTATTCCGGTGCAATCAGTCACGGGGGGGAGGGCTGGGGGTACAGCCCTGGGAGTAAGACGGTCACGGATCTGGCAGGAGGCCGTCCGTGGCTGTCTTGGGGGGGAGGGGATACTCGGGTCTCTCCGGAGGCCTGAGTTCGCTTGTGGTCGGTCGGTTTCCTCTCTGTCTGCCGTCGGGCGCTTGCGCTCGTCGGTGGGTGGTTGGAGACTGGCCGCGTGGGCTTGGGTGGGAGGGGTAAGGGGTTAACCCTCTCGCGATTAAGCAAGCCCGCCAGGCGGGGGGACACTCCTGGTCACTTGGAGTGAGCCCTCGGGGGGGGAGGTGGCCGTTCGCGGCCCACCGCCGGATCGTCGCGGATGCATGCTTCGGCGTTTCCCGTGGCGATCCACTTGGCGGCAACGGAGAGTGACCGCTGGTGTTTTAGTGGGTAACATGGGCCCTTCTGGCCGTGAATCCCACATAACCGCCTCTGTCTCCCCTAGACGGAGGGGTAGGTATAAAACCTTTCACCGCGATAACAAAAAAAAAAAAAAAATTGACATGTTCACGACTCACGCCATACTTCCAGTGTTAGTCATTTTATGTAAATACTAGCTTTCCGCCCGCAGCTTTGCCGCGTGGAGTTCGGTTATATCGCGTTTCCAAGAGAACCTTTCAAAAGTCTGGGATAAAAACTATCCTATGTTCTTTCTCAAGGTCAACTCTATCTCTGTACCGAATTTCATTAAAATCAGTTCAGTGGTTTAGGCGTGAAAGCGTAACAGACAAACAGACAGACAGACAGACAGAGTTACTTTGGCATTTATAATATTAGTAGGGATATGTGATATTGTTACATATACCATGCACATACCAATGATTACTTAATATATAAGAATTGAGAATAAATAAAGTGTAGAGTGTATATACGTTGTAAATAAATATTATTTATGTAATTTTTTTTGACAAATTTTCGGCTTTTTAATAGGAATTTATTCAAGCTATTAAGTTTTCGAGTTAGTATAAGGAAAAAGTTAACTTATAATTCCCAAATGGAAAAATCACAATAGATTATATTTCGATAATTATCTATATGTAACAATGTAATGATTTTTATCAATATTCGTAACCCTTTATCATTCATGACTTGATAAATCATCTATGAATGTAATACTTATGCATTGTATAAATAAAATTAAATTTCCCAAATGTTATTAAAACAAGAAAAAAATTATCTTTCGCTATTTACATGACCTTCAAAACATAAACAATCTTTGTATTTTTTGTATTATTTGTCGATGCCAACAATGGTATTCTTTTTTTTAAATTTCTCGTCTCTAATAAGACCAATGTCACTGCAGTAGGTCTTATAAACATCGATCGAAAAAATATACCCAATAATAATTCCAGTATCGAATATAGTGTTTTATAAATAGCATTATTATCAAATCAGATTATCTGACACTTAAAAGTGTCTTGTCAAAGTGAAATTTTAAAAATAGAATCACAATACATCTGTAATATAAACTACAAGTGAGCTATGACGTAACAACTCTCAACGCAGTATCAACTATCACTATGTAGCAAAATAGTAGGCAAGATGGCTACTCAGCAGTATGATCACAAAACGCTTTGTTTTCATAAATCATATAAAAATATATGCCTTAATACAAGGGAGTTGAGATCTTTTTTAATTGACCATCGCGTTTGTAATCTATATTGATATAGCTCATTTGAAAAATGTATCTTATATCATAACCAATAAGGTTGTATATTAAGTGCGTGGTGTGAAACTGAGCAAGTGGTCTCACTAGACGCAGCTGCCCCCCCCCCCCCCCCCCCCGGCCCTCACCGCCGCCAGTCCCCCGCGCCCCGTTCATTCCCCGCGCGTGTCGCGCTTTCAAAGACTAATACGGCAGACTTCACAGTTGTAACCGATTTCATAATGCCAAACAAATAGCGTCTTCTCTGAGGCGGGTTGAGTAAAGAAATAAGCTCAATGAACTTGACTGATATATCGTAGTAAAATTAGTTTCTAAATAATCTATGAAGTTCTCTAGTAATTTTGATATTCTTATTTACATATTAATTTATATCGGAGCGGCAGTTAAACTGTTATTGTATGGCTAAAATGTTTCCAACTAGAATGAATGAACATATCCGTTTAAGCGGATTTTGGACAGAATCTTATAAGACTCTTATTTGTGATAGTTTATAATTAAAATATTGTTAGTGAAATTCTTCTTATTGGTTATTCAGTAGAAAGGTAAAATGCGACTTAATTGATATTGATACGTCATAAGAAAACGTAGGGTGAATGTACGATTTGTGAGTTACAAGTAATAATTTTAGGTAGATATTTATAAGATATCTGTCCGGTTATTCTGTGTCGAGCGGTGCGAGGCTCACGTCGCCATTCTGGATATTTTGACGGGAAGGTCGGTCACGTGACGCGGCGCGGCGGCGGACGGCCGGGGGAGAGGCGCGCGGGGCGGGGGAGGGGGGGACGGATCGAGGGGCGGCGGGAGGGGGGCGCCGGCAGTCGGCGGCTAGACTCCCCAGTAGCCGAGCCATCCGTCTGCCGCGTCGACTGTGGAGAGTGGAGAGAGGAGAGCGGAGCAGCGAGCTCGCTGTACGGAACTCGCGGAGACGACACGGCCGAGGGTGAGGACCACTCTGCGCCGCGGAGACGACCTCGGACTCGTATTTTCGCACGGGGCGGGGACAGAGGAGAGCGCGGGCGGCGGCGGCGTGCGCGGCAGACATGGCCGGGCCGCCGCGGGGAACACACGCGCCGTGCGCGCCGCGCCTCCCGGGACCGCGCTAGACGCCCGGCGGGCCGCGCCCGGCGACACCATGGACGTGGTGACGCCGCACATCACCTCCGTGCTGAGGACGTACCAGGCCAGCGCGCCGCGCAGCCTTCAGGGCCCGGGCGGGGCCGCTGGCGGGCCGGGGGGCGCACGCTCGGTCCCCGCGCCGCCGCCGCCGCCGCCGCCGCCCCGGGCCGCGCCACCCATCCTGCTGGCCGCCGACCCGGTGCTGGGCGAGCGCGGGGAGACGGCCCTCGAGGGCGAGCCCATATCCTGCTTCAGCGTGGGCGGCGAGCGGCGCCTGTGCCTGCCGCAGATCCTGACCTCGGTGCTGACGGACTTCACGCTGGAGCAGATCAACAGGGTGTGCGACGAGCTGCAGATCTACTGTTCGCGCTGCACGCCGGAGCAGCTGCACGAGCTCAAGTCGGAGGGCGTGCTGCCTCGCTCGGCGCCCTCGTGCGGCCTCATAACGCAGACGGACGCCGAGCGGCTGTGCGCGGCGCTGCTGCACGCGCCGGCCGCCGCCTCCCGCCGCCTGGGGGGCTTCCGCGTGTACCACGAGTGTTTCGGGGGCGCGAGCGGCGTGTGCTCGCCGGAGCTGGGGCTGGTGCAGTGCGCGGAGTGTCGCGGAGTGTTCGCGCCGCGCCGCTTCGTGTGTCACTCGCACGGCACGGAGCACCGCACGTGTCACTGGGGCTTCGACTCGTCCCGCTGGAGACGGTTCGTGCTGGTGTCGGAGGAGGAGCGGGACAAGGAGGAGTGCGGCGCGCTGCTGGACGACCTGGCCGCCAGGGAGCCCGCCGCGCAACACACACACGCCGCCGTCAAGCAGCACGCGCCGCTCAAGAGGAAACAGGTACCTCACACACACACACACACACACACACACAGAGCTGATGCTCCGTCATTCATTAATGATAGAGTCACACACTTTTGTAGCAACACTTATATTCCTTGCAACACGATCAGATCCAACGTCTGTCTGTTCTCCGCTTGTATCCTACATAAAGTAGACTTCAATGATTATTGTCATCTATACATAAATAATCTAATTCATAACGAGCGCGTATGAAGTGACGCTAGTACTTCCTACAACATTATCACAGGAAAACACCAACAATGAAATCATTTCATTCATGTTATATGTAACCAAGTGACTGGTACATGATGTACATTACGCCGACATTTTGATCCTCTTCCTTCAATCTCTAATTATTCTACGCCTATTCGAAGTTCGCCTCGAACTTTACCCAATCGTTGTCTAAATATGGTGAAGTTAAATCCATTGAAATATATCGGCAGTGAATTAAACTGAGACAATAATAATTTAAAATAACACAATATCGATACATAGCCATCCTAATATCTTATGTATAACGTTGGTTTGTATATAAATATATGTTCAGTATATAGAAACAAAAACGGTCCCAAATATAAGACTAGTTGTATTTATATATACAACCGAAAACATATATACTTAAAGAAGACTAGATATAAAAGTTCGGAATTCATTTCCTTACTATCCGACAGAAAGTACTATAACGAACACACAAACTAAATGCTAACAGTTACATCGTTAAAAAACGTGGATACTTTCGGTTCAGCGTATATCAAACTCGTAGTAAATACATAGTCCGAACATAATCGTGTTATAAAAACATCATAACATACATTAAAGGAAGCCACGTGGAATAACTGACTAACTCAGATACGTCGAATATATTAACAAAACAATACAATGAAAATACATAACTATATAATACAATCTTCTTTCTGGCAATTTCCCAGCTTTAGCCAGGGCCTTACATGTTGTGAATAGTTTTGGCTAATTGTTTTTACGACCGGCCGCCTGCCTGACATCAACCCTCTTTGGGAATAACATAACTATATACAATATTATAAGATAATAAGTTAATAATATATTAGTTATATTATTCGTAATATAAAAAATATAAGAATTTAAATTACCTCAAGTATTTAGTTTTTTTAGGTATTTTCGTGTGACGTCATTTGATATTACTCGCTTTTTTTATTCGAACGTTTAATGTTAGTTTTGAGTGAAAATGGATGTTTTAAAATTTATTTCACGAAATTTTCACTTTTATAAGCCATGAATGATTTAGAAATAAAAACAGTATCGTTTACTGTTTAGTTATAATAGTTTTGTATTTGCTGTCGCTAGTATCAAATGATTTTCTGTGTAAATATATTTTTTGCTTGTATTTATTTTATATTTTGACTAAAACTATTTTTTTTTAATTTTAATTCGACTATAATTAATAAATATTTGCTTCCTTATACAATTAAATATAACCCGTGTTTCAGTTCTTAATGCTCTAAAAGGTTTTTATAATTTGTATACTAATAGTCTTTCAAATGTAAACATAAAAATTATATAGTAAATAATGTTATATGAGATTAATATTAAAGAAAATTACTTGAGAATTATTTACATGTATTGTGACGTCATGTGGTCACGTGATCGCCGGGAGTACGTCATTTAAGGGAATGACACTTTACTTGTTTTACTTATCCCTACTAATATTATAAATGCGAAAGTAACTCTGTCTGTCTGTTACGCTTTCACGCCTAAACCACTGAACTGATTTTAATGAAATTTGGTACAGACATAGAGTTGACTTCGGGAAAAAACATAGGATAGATTTTATCCCAGACTTTTGAAAGGTTCTCTTGGAAACGCGATATCACCGAACTCCACGCGGGCGAAGCTGCGGGCAGAAAGCTAGTAAAATAATAAAATTTTATTAAACTGATTCTAAATCCGGTGAAATATAAAGAAAAAAGTTATTCAGACAGGCTTGTATTCCTGAATTAACAATTTAAAAAACAATGAAATTTAATAATAAAAAATAAATATTAAAATTCTAAAAAATCATTAGTTATGTTTTAAATAAAACAATTGATACATTAAAATTTCAATCAACCAATGTAAACAAAACGTGGAACGTTCAATGTATTTTTCGATAATCATTTATTTAATTTGTTCAAATCATATTAAAAACATGTATTTACAATGATACATGACTTATTGTGAAATTAAAAAAAACTAGCAACGACGAAATTGAATTTACAACATAGGGTGGTCAAAAACTATTTAACCTGCTGACTCTACATATAAATGCTAATGTTTGTTGCTGTTTAACGAAAAAACTACTAAACCGATTTTGATGATAGTTCACGGTAATGTAGCTTAGACATTAGAATAGGATATAGACTATGATATATCCGTATTCCTCATAGTCTGTGGTGGCCTAGTGGTTAAAAGGCCCGACTCTCGTGCACGACGCCTGGGTTCGATCCTGGCAAGTACGAATGTGATTTTTCCGAGTCATATGTACTATATAAGAGTATTTAGACATCACTCATTAATGCATTTCCAAAGAGGGTTGATGTCAGGCAGGCGGCCGATAAAAACAATGAGCCAAAACTATTCACAACATGTAAGGCAGATCCTGGTTAAAGCTGGGAAATTGCCAGGTAGAAGAAGATATCCATATTTCTTATAGCTACTTATGAAATAGAACCTAATTTGTAATCGCGTATAAGGTCACGTGACACTTACTATAGAGGTCAATGTCGCTTGTACCTATTATATAATAATTTTGAAAAAACTACACATTTCTATATGAACCTAAATTTCAAGATTTTACTTTAATATGGATTCTTATTAGAATCTTATAATAAAGAAAGCATAGCTTAGAATAAAGGACGCATAAACAGCGTGGTGCCTATATTTCTTCTTGGAAGTTTGAATTTATTATTAATGGATAGGTATAGGAAATTTAGATATTAAGAATTACAAGAAGAATAAGGCTCTCCCATTCCCGTCTTACATTTTCCACTCTTTTTTACTTTTAAGTATTTCTGTAGTTGGGACCGTAAGCAAAAATTTATGCAGAGTCTAGAAAAGTTAATTGATTTATTTTAATCTTTGATACAACCTTAGCTTGAGTTATTTTCATATTATTATATATTGAGAATTAAGACTTGCGCGAGTATTCATTTAAATGAAACTAATACTAATATTTTATTGGTGTAAATTGTCGAGAGAAGTAATAAATAAAATAATAAAATACTCGTAGTAGTCCAAAAATACTAGTTTTAGTATATATTTTATATACTACACGTACAAAATCACATCATTCATCCCAGTTCAAATCGATCGATACTAGTACCTCCTTCGAAGCCTATATCCATCAGTTCATATATTTTGGTACAATATTTCTCATGCTGTTTGAAATATTATAACAATTGTGTATACAAGCTTTATATACTTTATTTATTTCAAATGCGGATAATTTGTTTCATTGTCCTCTCGTTACAAAAATAAAATAAAAAGTGAAATTATTATATATAAATTATTACACTAAAATTTTGTTAAAAACTATATATACTAAATGAATGGCTGATTGATGAAATTGTCATTGTATATTTTTAACCCCACGCAAAAAGAGGGAAGTTATGTTTGACGTCGATGTTTCTGTGTTTGTCTTTCAGTCTGTAGCATCGTAACTCTTAAACAGATTCGTTTTTGTCATTTGAAAGCCAGTTTTCTTACATTGGTCATAACGACGTTTGATTATAATCCATAAATGTAAGAATATTTGCTTTACCAAAATTATTAAATAGTACATTTTTGTTTTTGACTCGAATAAGTCCCTCACTAGTGCCAATATTTCTAAGTGACAATTAATACTTTATTTTTTTTTTATTTCATATATTTATCAAACGGCATGTGTACATTCAGCCAGTATCGTATTTAACATAAGTGCGTAACGTTATAAAGAGGATTTATGTTAGAAAACCCGTTTCGCGTTAAGTCACGCACGTGTTTATCAATAATTGCACCTTATGTCTACTTATCTACGCTTTTTACCACCACTTGGCTATCTCGGTCATGTTTTCTCCTTACTGTATCATTTTTAGGCATGTCTTTTGTTACCATTAATAAAATGCCACTTCAAATGTATAATATCTTCGTATTCCACATACGATTTGAATTTCCCGCCCTTTTTGACCATGAAGGTTCATCAAAATGAGTTCTTATATATATGTATTAATTTAAAATGATTATTCAATCAATAGAACATACTGCCGGTGATATTATATTATTATTCCATTCATATAAATATGTTTATTATGCCGGCATCGGTTGCATCAATTAAAATGCGATGCGTGCACGGTCCCGAGGTGTTTGGAAGCCAACAATAGAGATAAACAAACAATATTATATACATACATATGTATATACTAGGCTTTATATATATTTGAATGAATCGAAGTATGAATATATTTTAATTATATATGTTCCGTAAAACGCATGACAAAAATAGTTTGTTATAGCATAGAATAAAAATCTATTAAATTTAATTATAAATCCACAGTTAAAAAAGAACCCAACCAATCGTTTGCTTGACGGGACATAAAAATTAATGGTCACTTTATGAAATAGACTAAAACTATTAGTGTAAAAAGTTTGTATATAAAAATAGATTTTTGTTATGTACTAATAACAATACAACCACTTTTTTAGCGATATTCTTATTAATACATATAATTTTTGAAAATAATGTTATTAATACATATAATTGTTGTAAAATAATGTATGTCTATTTAATGAGATCTAGGATTTTCGCGGGTGTTCATTTAAATGAAACTAATATTTTTCGTATTAAAATAAAAATCCCGTAGTACATCCGAAAATATTTGTTTTATTTATGTCTATTTTTCATACTGTCATATTTAAGTGAAGAAAATAATTACAGAATCTGATAAAACTTTTCTATTCTTCTTGGAAATTAATACTAATAAGATTATATTGATGATGTAAAATAA